CTTGGCTGGCTGGAGGACTCCTGGATTTGAATTCTTCCCTCTCCACTGTCTCTGGATGTTTTCCCACGGTCCGCCGGGCCCCAGGGTTGCAGGTGAGCAGCCTTTTTTTTTTTTCTTCTTCCTTTTCTCTACGTGAGAATCGCTTGTTCTTTCTGGCTGGAAGCCTCTGAGAGTCTGTCGTTGACCTTGGAATTTAGAAATTCCCCCAGTATATGCCTAGGTCTGTGTTTCTGTTCATACACTACCTAGAACCCCCAGAGCCTGTCCGTCTGCAGACGCAGGCTTTTCTTTAGGGAAATTGTTCTTTTGTTTGTTTAATTATTGTCTTGACTTTTCAAACTCCTGTTATTTGCCTGGCGGGTCCCCTGGATCCATTCTCCGGATCTTCTCGCTTTTCCCTGTGATTTCTCTTTGTCGTTTTGCTCTAAGGCGTGAGATGCTGCTTTCCCTTTTTCTCTGTGGCCACTGAATTAAGTCTCAACAGTGACCCTTTGTGCCTTCCATGCATTTATTGCATCGTAAAACCTAGAAGACGTTGCTTCAGACCTCTCTTGTTCTACACTTGAATCTCCCCGAGAGCTTCTCTTCTTCTTCTTTTTTTTTTTTTTAGATTTTTATTTATTTGACAGAGAGAGACACAGCGAGAGAGGGAACACAAGCAGGGGGAGCGGGAGAGGGAGAAGCAGGCTTCCCGCAGAGCAGGGAGCTGGACACGGGGCTCGATCCCAGGACCCCGGGATCATGACCTGAGCCGAAGGCAGACGCTTAACGCCTGAGCCACCCAGGCGCCCCGAGCTTCTCTTTCTGTCTGTTCCTTCCAGTGGCTCTGTTTCATTAGGGCCCCGTTCTGATGGTTCTGTTGGTTCTTAGTCTCTGACTCCCAGACCCCCTTCTGTGTGTTGTTTCTTCTGTTCTGCCCGTTGGGGCTTCCCCTCCACGCCCTCCTGAGTGGAGGCGATTCTTGGAGTGATGGAAGGGGCTGGGGCCTTGGCCCCCGAGGCAGCCCTTTCCCCTTCGCCAGCCTTATGCTACTGGCTTGGCCTCAGAGGCGGACAAGGCTTGGCTCAGCCATGTAGCTTGTCCTTACCCTCTCGGGCACCAGAGGACAATCTGGGGATCAGGCTTGCCCCAGGTTACCCTCTGCAACCAGAGACAGAGATGTCTCCAAATACAGATGGGGGCTCACAAGATGAAGACCCCTGGGGGGGAGCCTTTTCTCCCTTGGGTACAGCCATGGTGGTCTCTTTGCTGCTGCCCTGACCCACCGGGCTCACTAGTGCCACAGGGCCTTCGCATGTGCTGCTCCCTCTGCCGGCAGGCTGGTTACCCCCCCCCCCCCAGTCTCCACATGGCTTCCTCCTACCTTTCACTCAGGTCTGTCCTCACTCCTCAGTCACTGACCCTGCCGTACCCCCTCATTCTTTGTCATAACTCTCAGCACGATAGCAAATATTGTTGCTTTCTGGCAAACCTCTATGGAGACAGGCACTTTGTGTTTTCTCCACAGCTGTATCCCCAGCACCGAAAACCATCCTTGGCACCCAGCAGGCTCTCATTACGTGCCCGTTGAATGCGTCAGTGGGTGGCTGTAAGAGGCACAGTGAAAACCCTTGGACAGACCGAGACCAGTGGCCCAGGAGGCTGGTCCTGTTCCAGGCAGACTTAAGCATGGCTTGGGCCACCGGTGGGGGGGCCCTGCCCCTGCTCACAGCACACATTGTGAGGTCAGACTGACGCCTGATTTCATTAGCCGAGGATACAAAGTCATGTAGGAACAGATGGGACGTTTCTCAGGGTAGCATCTGCCATTTCCAGAGCCACCGTGCGGGTGGGGCTGTGGGTGGGGGCCGTGCCCCCCAGCTGTCCGGCTGCCATCTGTGTTAGGAGGCCTTGCAGGACCTGGGAAGCCCATCATGCAGGCTCTGGGGCTTATATAACCTTCAGGAAGGCCCGAAGTACTTACGTCCTCCGTGGGGCTTAAGGCTCCAGGCACTTCCTGCTTCTCAAGCCAACTGAGCGTGAGCAAGGCCACCAATTCCAGGGCGGGAAGTAACCCTCGCTTGGGCATCTCTGAAGGCCGCCTCTGCTTCTGGCTCCCGGCCTCCAGGACCCCACCCCCCACCCCCGCCCCGGGAGGAGCAGGGGGAGCACCCTCCCCTCCCCTCCCCCGGAAGGGAGAGCTCCGTGAGCAGTAAGCACAGCATCAGCACGGGCTCTTTCTCATCCCTTCGGTCCGTACACCATGCCCACCATGCCTCCCCCCGCTGACGTCGGGAGAAAGGGGAGGAAGGCCTTGCGTGGTCATCTGCAGTCCCTATGCAAGGGAGCTGCGGGGGTGACATGGGCCGGGCCCCAGGCCTTTCATCCGGGAAGAGGGGACGCGCTGCCAAGGCACCTGCCAGGCTGCAGGCTGTGTCCTCTCGTTCTGAAAAGCTGAAAGTCACAGCTTTGTCCTCTGAATGAAAGCTTTGCTTTCTGCCCTGCCCAGAGTCGCGGATGAGAGGGGAGAAAAAAAAAACAAAAAGCGTGCGTGCGTGCGTGCGTGTGTGTGCGTGCGTGCCTGCGTGTGTCTGAGACCCCAGCGCATTGCTTCTCCCCTGAGGGATAGGAACCTGATGGGGGAGTGATAGGGCCCATTGAAAGTAAAGCTGCAAAATATTTTGGGTGACGTTGTGTCTCTTACTGACTGATACAAGAAAATGCTTTAAGGACAACAATACCAAGTAGTGAAAAAAATGATTAAAAACCACCAGAATGGGGGTCGCCTGGGTGGCTCAGTCGGTTAAGCGTCTGCCTTTGGCTCGGGTCATGGTCCCGGGGTCCTGGGATCGAGCCCCGCATCAGGCTCCCTGCTCAGCGGGGACCCTGCTTCTCCCTCTCCCTCTGCCTGCCTGCTCTGCCTACTTGTGCTCTCTCTCTGTCAAATAAATAAATAAAATCTTTAAAAAAAAAAAAACAACAACAAAACACCACCAGAATGATCCGGGGCAGGTAAAATTCCCCAGGAACCTCTGAGATGTTGTCAGACCTCTCAGGGCACCGGTGGGCATTGGGCTCTGCCTTCCCGTCACCTCTTCCCCGAGAGCCTGGCTGATGGTGCGCCCCACTTCCCCGGCTGGCACGCCCCGAGCTGTCACCCGTCCCCTGAGAGCCCCGGGTCCCTCTGCATCTGGCTCATCCCAGTTGGCTGTGCTGCTGACGGGTGTTTTATGGAGGAGGAGGAGGGTTGTTCTCATACTCACCAATGAGAGTGTCGTCTGTGGACGAAAGGCTGTGTGGCTGACATCGGGTCTTTGTCTAAATGCATGTGACTGTCCTTGCACTGTGTGGTTCGTGAGGGGGAGGTGTTTTTTCCCTCCGCAATGACAGGCATCTTACACATCAAGGCAGTATAATGGTACAGTGACTGATGACTGTGAGTTGCTTTTCTTTTTTGCTTTTATTATGTTAAAAATAACACATAACGAAATTTATAATTTTGACCGTTTTTTTTTTTTTAAAGATTTTATTTATTTGTCAGAGAGGGAGCGCACAAGCAGGGCGAGCGGCAGAGGGAGAAGCAGGCTTCCCGCTGAGCAGGGAGCCCGATGTGGGACTCGATCCCAGGACCCTGCAATCGTGACCTGAGCCGAAGGCAGACGCTTAACGACTGAGCCACCCAGGCGCCCCATTTTGACCATTTTTAAGTGCACGTTTCAGTGGTGTTACGCTCGGTCATCACCACCATCCATCCCTGTAACTCTTTTCGTCTTGTAAATCTGAAAGTCTCTGCCCATTTCACACTAACACCATGCTCTCCCCTTCCCTGAGCCCCTGGCCACCACCTCTACACTTCTGTCTCTCTGGTTTTGACCACTCTGAGCTCCTCATGCAGGGGAATCCTGCAGTATTTGTCTCTTTGTGACTGGCTGTGGAGGTCGCTTGAGATTCCATATGAATTTCAGGATGGATTTTTCTATCTCTGCAAAAAAAACCCCATTGGGATTTTGATAGGGATTGTGCTGAAGCTATAGATCAACCGCTTTGGGTAATGTCATTTTAGCAATATTAAGCCTTCCAATCCATGAACATGGGATATCTTTCCATTTCTGTCATCTTTAATTTCTTTCTTATTCATGTTTGTAGTGTTAAACAAGTCTTTCACCTCCTCAGTCAATTCCTAAGTATTTTATTCTTTTTGATGCCATCGTAAATGGAATTGTTTTCATGAATGTGTTACACAGCCGTGTTATGTGTATATTCCCTTTAGAAACGTTAAGATTTAGGAAAGAATTAAGAAAATCAGTCACACACAGCATCCCGTGGCCCCCTCGACATCTTGTCACTTTAGTGTCTATTGCTCCGTACTTGTTTGTTCGTCTTCACATGCGTGCATCAAACACACACGTGTATATATTTTTGGAGGTGGGATTACACTGTTTTTCTAGACTCTCTCATTTCACATTACATGTCAGAAATGTCTTTCCAACCATAGGCAGGTGTTGCGAAACACACAGTGGAGACATAAATGGCACAGCTCTGATAAAATTAAATGCACAATTTATTTTTTAGCCCAGGGTAGGATATCTGAGGTTCTTGGGTTTGAAAGATATAAGCACCTAATTTGGCTTGGAAAAGGAGGGGCTTTTGCTGAGCTGCTCCATGCAAATATTTAAATATAAATGAAAATGATGTTCTGCCTTAGGGCTAGATGCCTCTGAGACCAGGCCTTCTCAGGAGTCTGTGCTGTCTGGGCATGTAGCTCCCTTTTTTGACACTGGCTTGCCCTGTGGCTTTGAATATGTAAATGGATTTCGTGGGACAAAGGGTGCACACATCGATGCTCCCGAGCTCTAGAACCTCAGCGTCCTGCTCGTTGCTGTGTCCTGGACGCCCAGCATGGTACTGCCTGATGCATCAGGGATGCTTGATCAATGTCTGTTAGATGACAGGCATCATTGTAGTCCCTCATTGCACCTGGAGGGATATTTGGGCACTGATGCTCTTGGTGTCTCTTTCAGGAGGGTTGGAGTCCAGGCCTCTGGTACGGGGTGTACGAGGCCGAAGCATCAGCATGAAGGAGCCGACCCCTTCCAGAGCCAAGCAGGGGGCCTTCAAGACCATGCCCCTCCGATGGTCTTTCAGACCCCGGGAGAAACCACTGGGTGCATCTGCCGAGCTGGTGGAGTATTTGGAGTCCAGGCGGAGACCCCGATCCACAAGCCAGTCCATCGTGCCACTGTTGACGGGCGCTGCTGGCGAGGACGTGGAGTCAGATGCCACCGGCTCTGCTAAGGGTGAAGGTGGTGGGCGAGCCACCGAGAGAGCACTGGCCGGAGTGCCCTGTCCCTCGGGCCACCCCAGCCACTGTGCCGCCCCTGGAGTCCCAGATGGTCTAAACGCAGCGAGGAAAGCCAAGGAGCATGCAAGTCAGGAGATCATGCTCCCCAAACAGTTTGACCTGCCCCTCGGCATGATGCCCTCAGCGGGGACTGACAGACGAGCTCGGCCTGAGGGCCAGAAGACGGCGAACTGGGAGGGAAGTGGCCCAGCAGGGAGCTGTGGCAGGGCACCCTCCCCCGCCAAGGAGCCTCTGGGTGCCGCGGCATTATCTAGAAACAGCGCAGACAAGCGCCAGAATACCTTAGCCAGGACGAGGGCCAGTGTGGAGGCCAGAGACCCTGAGACAGACAGACTCCCACAGGGGACCCTCACCCTTCTGAGATCTGTGTTCTGGAAGAAGGAGAACAAGCATGACAAGGCGGAGGTGGCCCTCCGGGCGTCCCCAGGGCCCCTGGTGAGCGGCAGGCTGAGCCTGGCTGTGGATGAGCACGCCCGAGGCTCCTCTCCTTCCTTCCAGATCCGAGGGAGCCTGGCCGGGGCCCCTGCCAACCTCCAGGAGAGGGACATCTGGTCAGCCCCCAGCTCTCTCCGCCTCCCTCGCAAAGCCAGCAGGCCCACGAGGGCCAGTGCCCTGGGTCCGTCACAGAGGACGGCTCCCGGGGACCACACTCCTTTTGACACCTTGCAGAAGGTGAAATACCACACACTTTCCTTAAGCCGGAAGAAAACGTTACCCGAGTCCAGTTTCTGATGGTATGTGTTCAAGTCCTGCACGAGGCTGGCGATCCTCGAGACAGGGCAGCTGGAAGAAGCTTGTGTTGTGTCTGTGAGTGGGCTTTCTGGAAGCCAGTTGTCTTGTGGCCCCTGAAAATAAAATAAAAACCATTTGTTTTTGGTCCCCACCCCTAGATCTTCAACACAGCATGTCCGAATACCTTCGTGTACCATTGGGTGCTTTTATACGTGTTGGCCACAAGATGGTGCTGTTGAGTCAACATTACCCTTTCAGGGCAAGAACGGATTTATTTCCCTAAATTCCTCAGCCTGAGTACCTACACTCAAGAGAGATTCGGATGCGGCCCAGCCTGACAGCATATAACTCTGCAGGGAAGCCTCGGAAATAAGAGTCTTCGACATCAAATCAGTTCTTGCCGTTGCTTACCTTTCTCAAATCTCCAATGCTTCTCCGGGATAACGCCTTCAAGATGCCAAAAAAACACGGTAGTGACCTTCAAGCAGGATTCTAGGAGAGATGGAACAGAAATGATTGAGAGTGTAGGAAGATATTTAATATATAGCAAAAGAATTACGTTACTGTTTTTCAAGGTATTTAAAAAAGAGAACTATTTTGATACTTAGGCATAGAGGAAGTTCTTTTTTAAAAAGAATTAAGTCTGAGATCTATGTACAATTTTAATAAAAGCCCATTGGTGAACCATGCAAATGGCTATCTTGAGTGACTGACGTTAAACGACTGATCTTTTTTTTTTTTTCCCCAAAAGATTTTATTCTTAAGTCATCTCTGCACCCAGTGTGAGACTCCCAACGCACAACCCTGAGATCAACAGTTGCCTGGGCCAGCCAGGCGCGCCAACCAATGATCTTGTTCTGTTCCTGCTATGTTGGCGTGGCTCCTTGCTGTCGATATCAAAGTAGTGACTTGAGTTGTTTCTGACATTTTAAATAAAATGACTTTTTCTCTTTTCTAAAGAAACAGGACTCCCCTCAGGTCTCTCTGTCTGGAGGGCTCGTACTTACCGACCCCCGAGAGTCTGAATCTGTCCCCCTGCCCCAGTGGTCGACTGTCCTGTGCCTCAAGCTTTGTTCGATCCTCCGTAGCTGTTCTGACAAATATCCTGTCACTTCTTACTGGGAAGCTGCCACGCCCAACCCTGGGTCTGTACTCAAGTCTGTTTTCTAGAAATATTTCCTCTCTGATGGGAACCATTTGTACAAGACATCCAACTCCAAAAATTAAGTTTTCCTTCATACATATTGCGTGACTCATTGGTATGTCTCTGCTACTTTAATTTTTTTCCTTAAGAAGGAAGAATGAAGTCCTTTTGTTCCCTAGTGAGAAAGACTACCTTTTTTTTTTTAAGATTTTATTTATTTTTGGGGAGAGAGTGTGTGAGCAGGGGGAGGGGCAGAGGGAGAGAGAGAATATCAAGCAGACTCTGCTGGGTGTGGAGCCCGACACGGGGCTTGATCCCACGACCCTGAGATCATGACCTGAGCCGAAATCAGTAGACACTTCACCGACTGAGCCACCCAGGTGCCCTGAGAAAGACTGCTTTGAACCACAGTTCTGAGATAGGAAAAGCTGAGATTATGAAGCAGGAGGACCCAGCCACTTGGCCCCGGAGGGCGATATGGAGGCCAGTAGACCCGTGTGCTTGCATTTCAAAAGACGTCCAGGCTCTCAAGTGTGAGTTCACAAATCTCGGGCAACATGCAACACACGTGGCCTCTTGGGCTATGGGAGTTTAGGCATCCTGCTGCTATTTCCAGTTCTTTTTCCTCTGTTGGTGCTCGTTTGTCATCTTTGGCTCCCATGCCCTTCTAAGCTCAACCTCCCTTGGTCCTCTAAGGGATTGGGTGGTGACTCCGATGTGCACCCCCTTGGCTTCACCCCTAGAAGGTCTCAACTTTAGGGATACCCTTGGGTGCCATGAGCAGGTCCCAAGTGTTAGTGGTGTCCATAATGCACCACGGGCTGGAGTGTCTTCCCTGGGTGCTGGACTTGGAGGTTTAGCAAGAGGCAATGACACATGGACCCTGGTGGCTATATCTGCCATCCCAAGTATTCCCCGGGGATGCCCGAGGCCCCTTGGGCTTACCAAAGCCAACAGAGAGGGCTTTCTATAGCTGAATTCTGGAATGTCCTCCCTGCCTATATGGCTGTATGTTATGGTGCCATAGATCAAAGTTCATCTTCATGGCCCTTTGTGGTCCCCGAATACCTCCAACGTGACACCTGCATCACTTGATATGTCACAATGAGGTCACAATAGAGCCCTGGGGGCCTTTGTCCCGAAGGTTTCTGTGGTCACACATTTCCTGCAAAGAAGGCCTCCCGGTTGGATGCAGACATACAGGCTGTGGTCCAGGACCAAGACACAGGCTCGGTGTCTTCACAGGATGGAGGATGGAACTCAAGGGTAATTCTACTCAGACCAGGGCACTATGGTTGGGGATTCTCCCTTAGAGAACATAAGACTTTGGGAGGATGGAAGACCGGACCGGAGTCACTTAGGTGGTCCGAGCAGCCACTCGAGAGCCCCAGGCGGACATTGGACCAGATCCCCCCCTCCTCCCTCACCTTGACCCTGAGTCTTGACTTACTGCCTCGCACAGACCCTGAGAGACCAGACTCGAGCCGGAGTGCCTGGCGTTCAAAGCCCCTGTCTAGCTGTTTGAATTGGGGAAGTTACTTTAACTCCGCTGTGCCTCGTGTTCCTCATCTGTGAAGTGGGGATGATGATAATAGGACCCGATCCATCGGTGGATGAGAGTACGAAAGGAGCTAGTTGGCAAACATTAGTTGATCCCCGTTACCAGGAGTCTGAGCTGCTGGGAGACAATTCAAGTCAGGCATGCTCTGAGAACCAAAGGCCCTCCCAGTCCTCGGAACAAGTCCGTTTACAATATCGTAGGGTGTCAGAGGGTAAATCCCAAGAGGGCTCGTGAGAGGCATTCACAGGAAGCCGGGTAAATACTTTCGTTGACATATAATTGATTCAGGAGGTTTAAAAGCCTTCTGTTCCACTGCCTTAGAAGTGGACTAAAGTTGACTCCGGTTTTAGAGATCCTGTAACTTCATCTGTCTGCCGTTCCAGCCCATTTAGGGGCTGTATTTATTTTTGTTCCTGGCCAAACCCAAGCAGCTCCTACCCAGGGAATGTTCTGAACTGAAATGTTGACAAGTCAACTGACAAATCTGTAAGAAGTACTAGGAGTCATGCTCATGAAATCACTTTGATGTTACCCCAAATCCTAGCTTCTTTCAGGTAGGTTCGACCCTAAGTGGGGGACTGGCGGGGGTGGGGGGCACAAGGCCCGGCCAGGGGGTACTATTCAAGCAAAGGACTTCCAGACATAGCCCGTTTCTTGTCATTCTAGCCACATCCCAGAATTCCCTCCAACAGGCTGGATTTGAATGGATTGGCTGCAGGTGCATGGGGCATCCCGGTGCCTAGGGCTGTCTCACATACCCTTTTGTCAGACCTAGGCCACAAGCCAGGGGGTGCAGCCAGCTCCAGCCAAGCTACATGGACTGAAAATGTCTGCCCTCCAGGAGGAAAACGCAGGTGCTCTTTGCATAGGCTAGGAATCCGGGAAGACAGAGCAGGTCACGCCCACAGTTGTGGGCACCCGAAATGTTTTTCTCTTACTCCATTTACTTTCCACCTGAGCTGACATCTCTGCTTCTTCTCCCATTCTACCTTTTTCTTCTTCCCTACTTCCCATTTCTTTGCTCATTGATCTAGGACCCTCCAACTGAGTCCATCCAGCAGATGAAGAGCCTTTTTGTAGAGGTTCCAAGTTCAAATTCAGAGTTCGCTATTAATTATGTGACCTCACAGCATGTACATTGATGTCTTGGAGCCTTGGTCTGTTCATCCGTGTAACGGGAACCCTGCAGTGGCGTGCTGGGGTAGGCTGGCACCAGCTCCTGGGAGCCCACTGTTCAATATTCCAGAATGTCACTAGGCATCTGTATGTCAAAATCAGCCATGGTGCAATTATTTACACGATAGAGATCAGCAAATGCTACAAATCAGACCTTTTTTTTTTTTTTTCTTTCTTTCCTCCCCTGGAGAGCCAGTCCGCCAGGACACCACCGAAATTATGATACCATCACTTGTTACTTCATACTTTTCACTTAGGAAAACGGATCTGAAAGCTGGAAAGTGAGTGTTGACCAAGCGATTAGGAGTCTGTGCTTTGGAACCAACCAAATGTGGCCTCGAACTCTGCCACTTCCCAGTTGGTGACCTTGCGCCACTTATTTCATCGGTCTGAGTCAGAGCTTCATCGCGTGAGGTGACAATAACATACCCAGCTTGCGGTGGTGATGTGAGAACTGAATGCGTTAACAGTGGGCGCTCGTAACACTGAACAAGAAACAGTTGCTACGCTTTGCAAGGGATCAAGCACCATTCATTGAGAAAAGATTATTAAGAGGAGCAGGAACCTTCTCTGATTTACGTAGAGGGTTTCATAGACCATCAGAACTGATCACCTACTTGCACATCAGCTGGTGATGATTTTTGGACACATTCCAATGTGGTTGGTGCCTCCAGCAAGGCTAGCAAGCCTGCTCTTAGGCAGATCTCTCTGTCTTGGTACCATATTCCTCTGCGTCAGAGACTAGAAATCTGCAGGGTTGGGACAGCCTGCAGTCCTTCATGCTCTGGCTGTGGGTGCGGAGAGTTATATGGCTTTGGAGGGAAGGGAGGACCCCCTATTTCCCAGCCTCTCTTATAAGGCTCATTCCCAAAAGGAAGACATACAGATTTGAGTAGGTTGGATTCTAAGACACATATTTATTAGAGGGTGTGCTATAGTCTTTCAGAAATCCCCCTGGATCTGTTGCTTTCTCTAGCTTCCAGCCTCCATGGGCATAACTTGATGACTGGCAGCTCTAGCTACCTGATTATTAGCTTCAGGAGGTAAACCACAACCACCATCACACCAAGGAACGTTTACTCCTACATTCCCGGGGCTCTCATTGATTCTTCTTTTTTTTAAGATTTTACGTACTTGACAGAGAGAGAGCACAAGCAGGGGGAATTCGGAGTGGGAGAGGGAGAAGCAGGCTTCCCGCAGAGCAGGGAGCCCGACGTGGGGCTCGATCCCAGGACCCTGGGATCATGACCTGAACTGAAGGCAGACGCTTAACCGACTGAGCCACCCAGGTGCCACCCCTCTGCCTTCTTCTTTTAAATTTTTTTTTTAAAAATCATGTAAAAGCATACAATAATTATTGTTCTTGCCACTTCCTTTTTTTATTTGAACTTCACTTTATTAAATTTACTGAGATATAATTGACCTAGACCATTGCCTAAGTTTAAATTGTACATGCTGATTTGATACATTTATACAATTGCAATATGATTGCCATCCTAGTGTTAACCAGCACCTCCTGGGCATCACGTAATTATTTGTAATTATTTCTCTTTCTGTGGTGGCAGCAGTTAAGATCTAGACTCTTAACAACTTTGAAGTATCGCGGTCTATAACCACCATGCTGTGCGTTAGATCTCCCAGACTTAATTATTGGTTAGTTGCAAGTTTGTGCTCTTATGCTTGCTTTCTCTTTTCCTTTTAAGTTTTTGGAGCTTTTTCCCAGAGCTCTAACTTCAGATTTGCCCCCATTCTTTTTGAATGCTGCTTACAACTTGCTAATGCAAATGTGTCACAAATTTAAACAAAGGGGCATTTGCATTGTTTCTCCATTTCTGCTATTAAAAGCAATGATGCCGTTGAGACGCCTGGGTGGCTCAGTCGGTCAAAGCGTCCGACTCTTGATTTCTGCCCCGTGTCCGACTCTGCGCTGGGCACGGAGTCTGCTTAAGCCTCTCTCTCCCTCTGCCCCTCTCCCCACATCCCCCATCCTTAAAAAATTAAATAACTCAATAAATAATAAAAGCAACAATGCTCTAAAAAGAAATGATGCCCTGAATATCCTAATCTGACATCTTGTAGGAGAGAAACTTCTGGTTGTACTGATTTATGTTCTGATGTGAAGGAGCTTGCCTACTAAAAGACATTTTTAATGGAGAGAAAGATGAGTTAGTGGCAGAATGGAGAGAACTTCTTAGGGATGTGGCCTTGCCTTATGTGGTGACTATTGAAATGTGTGATTGGCTGTTCAGTTTTCCCTAATTCTTGCCATTAGTGAACCACTCAAGCTGGGTATCAGTGATAAGCTTTCCGGAATGGCACGCATCTGCTTGGGGTGACTGTCCCATTCCCCCGGCGCTGTCCCATCAGACCATTGCGCCCATGGCAACCTCGCAAAGGTGACCCCACATCTTCATATTCTTTCAGGAGCTGAGGACAATGACACCTCAAATAGAAGCATCCACACCAGCCTGGAGGAAGGTCTCAGACCCTCAAGTGCAGCTAAAACACAGTAAAGCTGCCTCCTGGGGCAGGTTTGACAAAACAAGTTCCTTCGAGATTCTTCTGAAGATAAAGGCAGCTCAGAGGAAGGCATAGTTTGGTAAAGGGAAGAGAGGCTCACGATGTGGGGAAAAAGGGACGGGGCTTAGAGACAGCACTGAGGAGACTAAGAACAATTCAGGAGAGCTTCAACCGGAGACGTGGCAAGTCTGAGTTTAGAACCAGTCACCTCATCTCCCTGGTCTCACTGTGATTATATGCAAAATGCAAAAGGAGGTCCTTGCAACAGGAAGGGTCCTTCTAACTCTGCTAGTTCTTTGATTGCACTGGAAAGTGGTTCTGGAGCCGAACTTTCTGGAGTCAGTGACCAGATCTGTAATTTACTAGATTTGCAGTTTGGGCACATTCCTCCTCTGTAGATTGAGGGTGATGGCAGAGCCTACCGCACGGGGTTATCGTAAGGATCATACTTATTTGAAAGAGTCACGGTCATGCCTAGCCCATAAAAATGCTCAGTTGGTGTTTGTTTTTATTATGCCTCTTATCTTCTCATCGAGGGGAGTGTAATAAATCCCAAGGGAAGATTCAGAAGATGTGCAGGACGAAGGAAGGTAGTTCAGCTGGGAACATGTCATTAGTGGACAAAGTTCAGTCGTGGTGAGGAGGACATAGGACATTCTTTTTTTTTTTTTTAAGATTTTATTTATTTATTTGAGAGAGAGAATGAGAGATAGCACGAGAGGGAAGAGGGTCAGAGGGAGAAGCAGACTCCCTGCTGAGCAGGGAGCCCGATGCGGGACTCGATCCCGGGACTCCAGCATCATGACCTGAGCCGAAGGCAGTCGCTTAACCAACTGAGCCACCCAGGCGCCCGACATAGGACATTCTTAATTCTCTCTTGAAATCGAGGGAGCCCTCTCTTCAGCTCCCCACCAGGACCCTGGGTCTCCAGGAAGGAGGAAAGGAGACCACTCCTCAACTTGCTGTCTGTGTGCCCAGCCTTTTCTGCCGGGTCCCAGAGTGACAGAACGGTGGGACCATTTTCTTTCCACGCCTTTGCTCGGTCTCCGATCTCGCCAGAGCGCAACCAGGAGACAGAAACCACAGGGGAATTTGGACAAGTTTAATATAGAGAAATATACTCTGTTAACTTTAGCACGATTGCTGTGTTGAGGAACTGGCTTGTAAGAAGTAAAGAGAACAGGAGTCCCAGTTAGAAGGAGCAGCCTCCACCGGTAGGATGGAAAAAGAAATGCAAGGGAGAGCCCTCACCTCCCTAGGGCTGAGCTGCTCGCCTGAGCTGCGGGGCAGGTGTGGGTGGCCCGGTGAATGGTAGAGGTGGGGCGTGGTGTTGCACTGGCAAAATTTGCAGGGAATTTGCCCTTGAGGGTGTGTGGGAAAGCTGTTCTCAGGAGGGGCCCCTCAGGAGGGGGTGCTGAGGAGGGTGCCCGCTACTGGGGGCCGCTAGCTACCATGCATACCCCACACTGGGAAGTCATCCGTGTGCCATGGGAGCCTGCTAAGAGAAGTACCCAGAACTAGGATGAGAAACCCCTTGTTTTCTGCAACACCTCTTCAATGTCCCCTATTGACAAAGCTTAGCGTCATACCAGCTAGAAAAGGAGAGATATTTAGAGGGTCCAAATGCGTGTTCACAGAGCAGATGGTGAATTATGCATTAGAAGGCAGTATGTTGATAACTGGTACCAGATGTGTTTTTCCCAGTCCCATCCTCTGGTTGAGCAGGGTGCCTGTTAGGGGTCCTACCTTTATGCAGGTGCTCCTCCCCTAATCCCACAAAGGTATAAGAAGACCCCTACGGGCATGAACTCCAAGCTCTGTGCGGTTCCAGTCCTCTGAGCTGTTCAGTTCCGGCTCACATCCGGTTTTCAATTTCATTTCCATTACTGGCACCTACAGAGATCCCTTTCTTCATTGTGAACGTTGTAACACCTTACAACTTGCACTGTTTTCTTTATGTCTGGAATCAGAAGGAGAAATTCTTTATCGTGAGTCCAGTGTGCCATGTGGACTGGAGTTGACCCCAAAGTATCAGGCACCACAGAGAAATGCTGCACAAACCCACAGAAACAGGGCGTGGGAGAGGTAGCATACTTGACACGTTAATTTGCAAATCCATGGTGCGGTTTTATAAATACAGTCTTAGATAGGATCCTCTTTTAGCAATGGCTTCCAGGTAAATTGATAGTCGGAAGGGGCCTCGTACTATTTGATCATCGTAAAAGAACAATAAACACCATTAGAAACAAATGAGAGGGCACCTGGGTGGCTCAGTTGGTTGAACGTCTGCCTTCAGCTCAGGTCATGAACCCGGGGTCCTGGGATCGAGCCCCGCATTGGGCTCCCTGCTCAGCAAGCTGTGCGTCCGTTTCACCTGACTGAGCAGCGTAACCTAGTCTAGCTCCCTAAGCAACAGAAGAGGACCAGAAAGTAAAAGCCTGGATACCCCTTACCCTCGCCTGTCCCCAGCCCAGGATGGTAGGAGCGGTCCCCTTGAAACTGTCTGCTCAGGACAGTCTCCTCCTGGACACTCTGGAAACTTCTCTGAGTCCATCCCAAGTGGCCAGGGCTGGGCTTCCCCCTTTCACCCTGCAGAGGCCAGCCGCCCGACAGGCTGAATTTTCTCCGCAAGCCCACAGCCGCGAGTCCCTCTTTGTTTTACAGGACAGGAGGGCGACGCTTCGGTAGACTCGAGTGCTGGAGAACACTCAGAACCGAGCTCTCTGCTGCTTTGGCCAGGAGCGTAAGGAAGCACAGAGACTGAGCGCCTCTGTGGGCTACTTCGAAAAATCCAGAAGCATGTGAAGGGCAATGAAAACCTGCTGGTGCTCAGCCTTAAAGCAGGGTCTTGGAAAGACCATGTCTTGGCACGTGGTCTGTAGGGGAGAGAGTCTCCCCGTGATGGAGGGAGCTGAGAACAGTGCTTTCACAACTAAATGGGGGCAAAGGAGGAAGCCATTGGGGAAGCATCTTCAGTATTTTATCTTTTTCCCCTTGTGTACACATTTCGTTTTATTGTAACAAAGCAACTTGTACACTGTTAACACTTAAAACTGAGCGTCATCTTTCCTTTCCAGTGAAACAAAAAGAAAATTTAAAAATAAACAGGAACAAAATGACAAGAGAGAATGTCAATTCCAAGTAAGATCCTACAGGTTCTGCTATTTCTCCCATCGAATGGCAGGGCTGAAGTCATCATTAGAAGAGAGTTTTATTTTAAAAGTGTCGTCTGAAACTGCAAGGATGTCCGTTAAACATCACGATTAGCCATGCCAAAGGAGAAGCCGTGTTGTCAAAATGCCCACTTAGCCCACGCAAACATTCAGTATTTTATTTTATTATTTTTTTAAAGATTTCTTTATTTTAGAGAGACAGAGAGAGCGAGTGGGGGGAGGGGCAGAGAGAGAGAGAGGGAGAGAATCTTCAAGCACACTCCCTGCTGAGCATGGAGCCCAGTGCGGGGCTCGATCCTACAACCCATGAGATCCTGACCTGAGCTAAAACCAAGAGTCCAATGCTCAACCGACTGAGCCACCCAGGCACCTCCCCATCTCCCGTGTTGTTTTTGTTTTTTTAGATTTTATTTATTTATTTGAGAGAGTGAGCATGAGAGAGAGCACGAGAGGGAAGAGGGTCAGAGGGAGAAGCAGACTCCCCGCTGAGCAGGGAGCCCAATGCGGGACTCGATCCCGGGACTCCAGGATCGTGACCTGAGCCAAAGGCAGTTGCTTAACCAACTGAGCCACCCGGGCGCCCCATCTCCAGTGTTTTAAATATATATTTGCAAATTGGAAAAAGAGGCTAGCAAGCTGAGAAAGATAAACTGATTCCCAGCCCGGGAGATTGTACCATAAACACCTGCATCGGGTTTTCATGAAATCTGATTAGATTCTTTTCAATCTGAATTTCACAGAGAGGCAAGCGGAAGACTTTCACGTTTACTTAAATGTGTCAAAAAGTTGGAAAACCTGATTTAGGGGCTGAAGGTTCTCCTGCCTTCTTGTCCCATCACGGGCGTGAGGAGGTCCTTGAACCCAGGATGGCGGCCCCCACCTCGGGAGGTGCAGGGAGCCGTCAGCCGTCTCTGGGACCTGTTGAACCGTGCATGTTGTAGTCTAGGGACAAAAAGGCCTTTCATCTATGTGTAATTTTTTTTCTCCTGCAACAGGGCCCAGGACATCGGAGGATGGGGGGCAGAGGGAAGCCATGCCTTGGTGGCCGTGTCACTAACAACGCGGATTCCCGGGGTCACCCAGGCGAGGAAGTCGTCCTCAGTGACGCAGAGGGCTGCTCCAGCAGGTGCGGAGCCTGTGGCCATGCCTCCTCCTGGCCTCACAGATGCTGGCCTCTGCGCTGGGCCCCAGGGGGCCAGAGGGAAAGGTAAGGGCCGCTCCTTGCCCTGTGGCCGCCCCCTCCGAGCCCCAGTTGTGGAGCAGGGATACATAGTGGAGGCCGTGTGATCTGCAGAATGGTAGCTCCCAAAGATGCCCACGTCCTAATCTGTGGAACCTGAGACCATTACCTTATGTGGCGAAACGGAGTTTGCAGGAAAAAAAAATGTGAATAAGTTAAGGACAGTGAGGTGGGGTGATCACCTAGATGATGTGCGAGTCCCCATCGCAAGCCCAGTGTCCTCATGGGACACAGGCAGGCAGGTCCGAGTCAGAGACAGAAGACAATGAGGAAGGTAACAGGGGGTTGGAGAGGCAGGCTTTCCGGGGCGACGAGCAGCTAGTCCACAATACAGAACCAAAGTCGGCTTTCCAAATAGTTGTTTTTGTGAATGAAGGGCATTGTTGTTTCTGATTTTCAGATCTTTGAATCAGGTGAGTCGAAATCTATCTCAATGTTATCTATGTATAGCTAGTGTATTTGTATATGGTGGTATATCTAATAGATAGGTTTTTTTTTTTTTACAACCTACACACAAGCTTCAGGGACCCCATATTTTGAAGAGTCCCGAATGCCACGATGAGGCATTTAGGTTTGATTTTAAAAAGAATCGGGGTTGGGGCGCCTGGGTGGCTCAGTCAATTAAACATCTGCCTTCAGCTCAGGTCATGATCTGGGGGTCCTGGGATCGAGCCCTGTGTTGGGCTCCCTGCTCAGTGGGGGGGTCTGCTTCTCCCTCTGCCTCTGTACTTTCTCTCTCTCAAGTAAATAAATAAAATCTTAAAAAAAAAAAAAAGAATCGGGGACTTTGGAAAAATTTGAATACAAGTATGACATGGAAAAAGTCATTCAGGAAAAATACTCAGGACCCATGAAGAGATTGCATTTGCCACAAAAATACCACCCTAAGCGAATAGCCCTAACCCAGTTAGCACAGGGTAACTTTGGTGATCTTTTCTTTTCCAGAAAGCGAACACAGCACAAGGACCCGGGCAGAATCCAGGTGAGACGTGGGGCATTGGCGTAGGTGGCAAGGGACCTAAAGCATCTTTTTTTCTTTTGAAATGAGAGTAGTATACTTATGGAAAGTCAAGAACTACAGAAGAGTATAAGTATGGGTCAGAGGAATCACTGAATTGTTCATTTATTGGTATGAAATCCAGTTTCTAGGGCTATTTTCTTCATGATCGATTAATTCCCTCAAAGGAATTCTTTCAACATTTCTGGCTGGTTAACCACAAAGCTGTTTTAAAAATTTCTTCATTAGGGGGGGTGGCTGGCTGGCTCAGTCAGTGGATCGTGTGTGTCTCTTGATCTCAGGGTCGTGAGTTTGAGCCCCAATTTGGGTGCAGAGACTACTTAAAAAATAAAATCTTTTTTAAGAAAATTTCTTCATTACAGACTAATAGATCTCTTGCTGAATTAATAAATGTTTGTAGCCTGCCATATGCGAGGTACTGGGATAGCTGTCATCCACGCAGTGTGATTCCTCCACTACAATTCTAAGGCATTATCTATATTATCCTATTATCTTATCATATTTTGAGTTGTTTTGCTTTAAAATGACATAGTATATTTACAAAATGTTGTACAGTATCTAAGTGAATCAGTCCCTTCCTCCTGACCCTACGTGAATTCTCTTGCCTTCCTTGTCATCTGTTTGGAATTTTTCCTTCCGCATTTTTTGGTGCATTGCTTTTCTAGGAAGAAGCATGTAATTTTGGTTTGTATGTGTGTTCACACATACATTTGCCTTTCTGCAACTTGCTTCTATAACTCAACAGTAGGGCTCGGGGATGTTTCCATATTGGTGTGTGAGGACGCAACTCCTTCCTTTCAACTCATGCTCTGTGGGCTATAGGGTGCAGGTACCAGTGGTTTTTAACCCCTATTGATGGACATTTCATTTTATCCCCAGGGGTTTTGGTTGGTTTGCAGGAACAAACGTGATTAGGTTCTTTACTGTGGGTCTCTTTTCTCCATCCTTCCATATTTCTTCATCTATAGGTCATATGTGTGTCTTTTTTATTTGCAAATATTTTATAGTTTTTATTGGTATGGCGATGCATCTTTTTTTCTATTATACTTTTTTTTAAAAGATTTTATTTATTTATTTGACAGAGAGAGAGAGAGAGAGAGACAGCACAAGTAGGCAGAGAGGCAGGCAGAGGGAGAGGGAGAAGCAGGCTCTCCACTGAGCAGGGAGCCCGACGTGGGGCTCGATCCCAGGACCCTGGGATCATGACCTGAGCCGAAGGCAGCCGCTAAACCGAGTGAGCCACCCAGGCGCCCCTCTATTATACTTTTAATGGCTTTGATACTAGTTTTTTTTTTTAAGTGGCTCTTGTATCTGGTCAATTTGTTGACTATCATTTTTTTATTAGTTTTTCTCTTATTAGTGTCAATTTGTCTCTCCCAGTATAATATTCCTACTTCTTAATTCTCTTATTTTACTGCACCATTTAGGACGAGCAGTACATTGCTTACCTGCTGGCATTTAGGTCAAGTTTATGACTTAAACCTTTCAACCTTTTAGGTATAACATTTATTGTAAATATCCTTCCTTGATGGTCCTTTAAGAAGTTAAGGGATCTTTTGATAATATTTCCTTAGGTTAGGAATAAGTTTTAATTTTTCAACGCTTTTTCATAGTGAAACTATCGTGGTTAGTTTATTTTTTGTTTTTTGTCCAATGTATAATGTGTGCTTCAAAAATGCATATTCTTTTTTTAAAAAAAAAGATTGATTTATTTATTTTGGTGGGGGGGTGCAGAGGGAGAGGGAGAGAGAGAGTCTCAAGCTGACTCCCCGCTGAGTGCGGAGCCCGATGCAGGGCTCAATCTCACAACCCTGGGATCATGACCCGAGCCGAAGGCAGACGCTTCAACGACTGAGCCACCCAGGTGCCCGACATTTTGACCTTATTTGGCAGCCAATGGGGAGCCCCTCATTCAGATATTTCCTGCAAATTTCTACCTTTCCAGAATTACCAGGCAGAAGGGGAAGACCTATGGTAAGGACAGGAAGTTCAAGGAAAGGATCCGAGGCAAAAAGCTGACTGATGTCACTGAGGATACAAATCATTCTATCAAAGGAGTGGACAAGAAGCAGAAACCAGGGGCTGTCCGAGAGCACAAGAGGCGGAGACTCTGGTTTCAGAGGGTGACGCCCACAAGTGGGCGTCCACGGGACACTCCTGACCCTCACCGAAGAAGAGGGTGCCTGCCTGCGGGTATTAGTATGAACACAGTGACTGTCACCCACGGTGAGTGCCATTTTCCTGCCCTTCCTTCTTTCTCTGATCTATTCCTCACCTCATTTTCTTCTGGTCTCCCTCTTTCTCTTACAGATTTAGACAGAACTGCTTTTTCAACGGCTTTTCACCCTATTTTTTCCGGCCCACCCGCTCGCCTTTCATCCACTCAACAGACTGATCTCAGCATTTTCTTTTTCCCCTCTTTGGACCTTGGGTGGCTCATCTATGAAATCGCATTGCTTTGTCCTTAGATTCCCTTTCAGTTCTAATATTCTCTGTGTCCTGCCAAGCTCCATCTACCTTCCCATCCCCTATGACCATCTTCCAGACTTTAGACAAGCCCCCTTCTGGTCAGTTCCCCTGGTTTTGTGAAAGCCTACATATTTCCTACCCAGCAGGTTTGTGTGTGTATCTGGTACATCCAGCCACATACAGTCAGAACATATTGGCATGTTGCCCTAACTTACTCTGGCCTTGGACTCCACACTCCTCAGCAATATGGGGGCTACCTTGTCACAGTGCCATGCAAGACCTGTTTATTTGACTTGTATGGATAGGCAGGGTATTATCTGGGGAGGGGAGAAGCTTAGATTCGAAATCAGAGTGGCTAGGCGAGACGCTTTCTGGTTGTGTGACTTTTAACCTCCTTAGTAGGACTAACGTTTGACTCTTCTGCCTCATACAGATGCTATGAGAATCAGGTAAGATACTCTTGACCCACTTTTTCAAATGTAACGTTCGGTATAAATGGGAGGCATGGAATTGAGCTTAACAGATTCATAATGAGAGCCATGTTCAAATGCCAAGTGCAGTTGGGGAGCAAAGCCCAGTCAAAGGCCACAGATTTGTTCTGAGATGCAAGAACATCCAAAATCAAACGACTTCTCCCCATCTGCATGACTGTCACTCTGGTCCATATTCCACCAACCCTCTCCTGGACGACTGTCCTAGCTTCCTAATCTGTCTGCCTGTCTGTCTGTTTCCACTCTTGCCTCTTACGGTGCCTTCTCCACAAAACATCCGGAGTGAGCTTTTAAACGTGCACTTGGCTCACAACCCTCCCTGTGTTAAACCTTCCACTGGGAGGACCCATCATGGATAATCCCCGTCTCGCACCCCATCCCCTCTTTGGGCTCTGGCCACACTGGTCTTTGCTTCTCTGCCTGCAACAGCCCTTCCCTTCCCCGCTCTGGCTTTTTCTCAGCCTTCAGGAAGTTCTCAAATATCACCCCCTCCGAGAAGTCCTCCCGGAGCACCTTCTCTAAAGTAGCATCCCCTTTGTTTATTTCCCTAGTAGTGTTCTTCGCTCTCTGAATGTATCTTCACCCCATGTAATTTCTGTGCTGGAGAGGGCTTCTAGTCTCCAAGGCATGGTAGGAGCTGTGAAAATAGCACTGAGCAGATGCTCAGAAATAGCCACTGAATGAATGAGTTAACAAGGCATTCACAGGTTTTTCCATTTGGCTGTAGTGTTGGACCAGGCTGGTCTTAAATTCCCAGATTTTATCCCTCATTAAAACAACAACAATGCCGGTTCTTAAATGCTGTTTTGAATGTTTCTTAAATGTCACATTTCTTCTCTTTAATAAAGATTTTTATTTATTTGAGAGAGAGTATGAGCGAGAAAGCACAAGCAGGGGGAGCGGCAGAGGGAGAGGGAGAAGCAGGCTCCCCGCTGAGCAGGGGGCCCAATGCGGGACTCGATCCCAGGACCCTGGCAGACGGCTAGCCGACTGAGCCACCCAGGTGCCCGTTAAATGTCAAATTTCAATTTTTTTGGCTGAAGCAGGTGAGAATGAGTATCCGGCAAATACTTAGCGTATAGCTGTTGTGAGAAGTCCAAAGCTCTGAAACATCTTCATGATCTACATTCAGAGCCAAATAGAAGCATATCATTAAAATTGAGGGATTTCAGGTGAAGGGTGGGCATACCTGTCCATTGTTCTTCGAAATAGTGGTTGCCAAGTGAGAGGCAATGGACTTCATGAATCCTGGTTCAAAACAAATTCCTAATGGATTTATATCTGCTTTTCCTTCTTTGTGAGGAAGTCCTGCTGCTTCTCAGGACATTTGATACAGTGCTCATGAGCACCCATGAATTCCCTAAGTTCACAAACACACGTGCAGCATCCGAGAAGGATGCCATTTCTTTAGGGCTTGTGCAGTGGAATGCGTCTTACATGGGGATTCTGTTAGAAAGTCAGAGTCAAAATTTGCCCTTGGGATTACTTTTATGTCACACGTGTAGGGCAGGGCACCAGTTTTGTGTCCCCATAGCATCGCGCAGATGCTTTGACTAGTCCCTCGGACTCCTCTTTAGAAATTTATTCCACTTCTCCTATAGGATGTCTTCACAGCCATCACTAATTCTGTGTTTGGCCACCTAAACAATGCCTTCTAGTTCTTTCTCGAATGTTGGAAAACCCTTAAAATAACCTACAATGTATTTCTACAGGCTTTATCAGCATGCATCGGCTATTTCTTCCTTTTATTATTATTATTATTATTTTTGCCAAGCCACCAAAGTTGATTTCTCATAAATTACATGCACATAAATTCAATGCATGGATGATGTGGCCCCATCGTAGTAGAAACAACAATGACTTGTTGGTGACTCGAGTTTCCTAAGGTCTTACTGACGCAGGCATACAAAGCCAACGCCAGCAAAAATCACAGCTCAGGTCATGATCTCGGGGTCCTGGGATCGAGCCCCGTGTCAGGCTCCCTGCTCAGTGGGGAGCCTGCTTCTCCCTCTCCCTCTGCCCCTCCTGCTTGTGCTCTCTCTCTCTCTTGCTATCTCTCTTTCTCAAATAAATAAATAAAATCTTAAAAAAGAATAATCAAGCAGGGCAGGGAGAAAGATAAAAGCAAAGGTAATGACTAGCTCATTCAACCACCAAAGGGTCCAATTGTTCGCCTGGGAAAAGTACAATTAACACATGATTTCTCCTATATTTCCAGATTTTCTGGATACTCTGTAGCATATTAACAGTCGTACTCATTACTTTACACTTAGAGGTACTTCATCCGAAAAAAACATCTGGAGACTGACGAAAAATATTGCAGATGTTATTTTTTTTAAGTAACATAACCTTTAACAATAAGTTTACCTTGTTTGGGGCATTCTTCTGAATGTCAAGTTCCAGGAGTATTTTTCCCTCAGGTGGGCAATTTTTTTTTTTTTTTACAGTCCTCTGACTCAGATTCCTTCTTTTGGAGGGGTGCAGGGCGGACGTGGTTCATTTCCTTCTTCCCTCTTTCTTTTTTTAATCTTCCAGTGGAGAGGCATTACAGGTTTGACTCAGGGGACAGGAATGGCCTCACCATTACTTGGAGGTAAGAGGCTCCCCGATGAGGGTGGTGTCACTGGCTCCACCAAGGGGCCCCCCAGGGCAAAGCCTCACTTTTCTTCCAGAGGCAACTGGATCTGTTTCCTCCCCCAATACACCTACTCAGGGAATTGCTCCCTGTCCCAGATCCCACCCTCCCAACACCACACCTTGAAGGAGCTCTTTCCCATGAGCTCAGGGAGGGAGAGCCAGGGGAAGACGGGCTTGCCAAAATCTGGACACATTTTGTCCTTGGGATCCTGAGAGAAAGGGAGTCCCCAGAGCTGACAGGAGCTACCGACCCCAGGGCTGCCTTGTTTCCTTGGAAAACAAATTCTTGCGGGTCTTTTCTTTTCCTTCTTTAGACTGAAGATACTTCCCGGACCCAAGGGGAAGGTAAGTGGAAACTTATGAAGCAGCGGCCATTTCAGCGTCCATGACTTGTTGGCCAACAAATAGTGCTTTTACTTGAAGATATGCGGTGAGAGGATGAGAAAGAGGCTGGTTCTCCCTCCCTCTCTCTCTCTTCTATGTAGTTTGTAGTCTACTGTCTATCTGCCCGTCATCACCCATCCATCCATCTATCCAGCCATTGGGGAAGACAGAGAGAACAGAGTGTTTTATTTAAATGCAAATGCTGTAGAAACTTCTGTAGGGCAAGAGTCATCCAGTCCTGGAGTTCCTGTTATTTTCAAAGATAGGAGAGTGTATTGTTAGTTATAATTTTTTAGTTCTTGACCTTCTAGGTCAGTTCTAAGGAAGCATTTCATGGTTTTGCTGTGTTTTTCCTTACCTGGACATGGCGGGCCCTCATGCAACAAACCCACTGTCCTTTGGAGTCAGCCAGAGTTCTACAGGCACCCATATTGAAATACACACGCTCATGCACTTTAACAAGGATAAATGAATTAAATGCACCTTTCGTAAAAAACACCAAATAAAGCAAGGGTTGAATGGTGACTGAACATCTTAATGAGCACCTTGTCTGAGTGGGTTTAGCTGGACGACCCCTGTCAGCTTACTCCTCAGCAGAATAAGAGTAGATGAGCGTCCTCTCCTCTGCAGAAGGGCAGCCGTGCATTTATTGGATTGATCTTGTGGCTGATGGCTGAGGCTCGGCGTATGTACTCACCCAGTAACTTACGTAAAGTGATTTTTTTAGGGGATTGACTATGCCTTTCTCAGGATGTAAGAACCATTTTGAACTAGTTACTTAAGCAAGTTTCACATGATTGGAGGATTATCTGTCACCGACCCATTTATCCATTTCTTTTGTTTATCATGATTTCCAAATAGGAGTTTTTAAAAATACAGTGAAAGTCCAACGCATCACCCGTCTACAACAGAATGAATTATTTTCCCTGACTATGTATGTCCTCATTCCCTGTGCAAATAAGCTCTCCCCTAGACACCCGTTGAACTACCTGAGTCTATCTCCACGACACATGAATACAGTCAGAAAGAAGAAAATGCAAACTTAACCAGTTCCTTATTTTGCATGGGACTGAGTAATTGGGTGCCCTGTGACGTGTACTGCTTATTCTTCCAATCTTCATCTGCTTGCTTTGGGTGCAGCTGTTCTGGGGTGGTGTGGGTTTGCATTCCTGTGCTCGCAGCAGGTGTGATCTTCTTCAAACCAAGCCACAATGGTAGGTGTTGATGAGGTGAAAGTAGGATGCTAGGGCAGAATCTTGGGCCAGGTTGAGGATACAAAGACCTCGAGGGTGATGAAACCTACCTCAGGGAGCTGGTTAGGGCCATAACTGGGACTAGGGAACAAGACTTAAGTGATCTCCTATAGTCCCCTATAGCAATAACTCAACAACCCCAACTTCAGGATTTTGGACATCTGGTTCAAGTAGCCTTTTCATGAACGTGTGTGAAAATCTTCCCAAAAGTGTGGGGTTATTTATCAATGTAAGATACAAATACCTTGCCCCAGAACAATCTCTGAACTGTATTTGTGGTACAAAGCAACTGTCCAACAAACAATAGGACATAAAATTCTAGCCACGGGAAATTGGGTTCAAAAAGATTGATTTGGGGGCTCAGCTTGAACCCCTCTCATATGGTCATTTGGGAGATTCTTTGACTTTCCAGGGGAGGTCAGAGATGAGGGTGCCAGGAGGGGACACTGAGTAAATAAGGAAGCAGTTAAAGCTTTTCTTTAACTGAGTCATCCTTTCCCTTTCCAGAATCAGAAGACTGATCACAGTAACAGCCCCCCATCAGACCTTCCTCAGACCATCTCTGAGGGATACCTGAGGCCATGCTGGGTCTTGCTTCTTGTGATTCCCCATAGAAGGAAGGTAAGCTGCCTTGGCAGAGGGATGGGATATACAAAATTTTCCTCTCCGGTGCAGTGCATACTGGAAGAAAGGACTGATTAAATATTGCAGGAACCCTTATTGATTCCATGTTATTCTTACAATTTCTTTTCTTGTTCAAATCTCTTCTAACCCTTAGTAGCCTATTTGTCAGTCAACCACCTCAAACTCAAAGGAGTTTTAAATGAGTGGTAAGAAGACTACTTGGGCAAATAATGGCTAAATACTGTTTTAATATGATTTTTCTCTAATTCATCTTCAAGAACATGGCAAGGTATCATGGATAGCATGTGTCAAAATAACTGTTTCCAAACATTGAAATAATGGAAGAACTAGAAGAAAAAACAGTGATGAGCACCTGGGTAAATCTAACAGAAAAAGCAAAGGAAGAACAATCAGAGGAAAAAGACAAATATTTGATTGTATACAGATTTTAAACTTTCTGTACATCAGAAGCAAGCTAAAAAAAACTTGGGGAGATATCTGTGAAGCTCTACCTCTGTCTCTGTATACACAGACTGACTCAACGTTTAATATATGAAGTGCAGTTTTATAAGTAATAGGCAAATAGTAAAATAGGCACGTACACAAACAAAAAGTACATAAAATATGTGTAATTGGCCAACAATCACAAAAAGTGCTTGAAACAAGACTGACAGATAAAAAGCAATCGTGTGACCTTGGTTGTATGGAAGTGCTGAATCACTATATTGTACACCCAAAACAAATAACAAATATGTTAACTAACTGGAATTTAAATAAAAACTTTTTAAAAAATAAATGACCCTGGGAAAAGCTAAGAAAAGGCAGAGGATGACCAGAATTTTCAGACATTTACTGCTGGGAGTGAAAATTTATGAGACTTTTCTATAAAATCCTGTGATGTGACAAAGTCTTTAAAATGTTTGAGTCCTAGCATTCATACTTCTAGGAATTGCTCCAGGTTAGAGATGGCTAATCATTGGGAAAATGTTAATGATATACTTTCAGGTGAACGAGGTGGTTTACAAAATTATACGTATAATATGTTTTCCATTATTATTCAAGTGTAAATATTTAAAAAGGCCAGACTGGACAGATTGACTCAAAAATGTTAACAATGGCTAGATCTGGGTAGATAAGTTGGGGCGGGATTTCTAATTTTTTCTTTCTGCTTTCCAACTTTTTGATAGTTTTCTACATGGAGCCATCTGTCACTTACATAATAAAAAGTTTGTTTTTTTCTTAAAGTAAGTTTTTGCTGCAAATAGCAAAGGAGTTAAGATTTAGCATATTCACTTGGCAAACCAACCCTAGTGTATCCTTAGGGTGGTGCAGCAATTCTCGTTCTAGTTGTCATTCTTTTTTCTTCAGTATAGACCAGCACTGTCTGTTAGAACTTTCTGCAGAGATGGGAATTTTATATCTATCTGTGCTGTCCAGTATGATATCCACTAGCCACATGTGGCTACTGAGCACTTGAAATGTGACTGGTATGACGTAAGAAATGAATTTTTCATTTTATTTAATTTTAAAAGCTCCATGTGGCTGGTGGCTACATTCAGAGATGAATGAGACATTGTAAAAGCTACCTGGTTGTGTTTGTGTGTGTGTGTGTGTGTGTGTGTGTGTGTGTGTGTTTGTCCCAAGGATGTCACAAGAGTGAGCCCTTGTCCCCCTGCATTTGTGTCCACACTCTCTCTCAGGGGTCTCCTCCATTTCACTTTCAACAGAGGATTCCCGTATCCACAGTCAGATCTAGGTCCCTTGCCTGAGAACTGCATTCTTATTTCTGACTTCATGCTAGACATTTTCACTTGGCTGTCCTGTAGCATGTCAGACTCAACATGTTTAGCTCACGGGTCTTCCCCTTCCCCATGGAAAAATCGCCCCTACTCTATGAATGGTAAATTCAATCTCAATCTCTTTTTTTTTTTTTAAAGATTTTATTTATTTATTTGACACAGAGAGAGAGATCACAAGCAGGGGAAGTGGAGGCCGAGGGAGAGGGAGAAGCAGGCTCCCCAAAGAGCAGGGGGAGCCCGACACGGGACTCGATCCCAGGACCCCGGGATCATGACCCGAGCCGAAGGCAGTCGCTTAACCAACTGAGCCACCCAGGCGCCCTAAATTCAATCTCTTAAACACCTGGGTTGTAAACCTTGGAGCCCTCTTTTGCACCCTGTTTCCAACCCCAAAGATGTCCCTTTGTGTCTGTCACTCCCTCCATTTCTACTTTGAAGGCTTTAACTCCTTATGTACAGAATACTCAGCTGCCAATTGGTCTCTCTGCATCTCTGCTCCATCCTGAATCCATGGTATATATGCTTCCTAATATGTCCTTAATTCATATTCATTCCATAAACACCATAGAACACCTAGTGTGTTCATGGCACCATGCCAGAGGCTGGGAGTGGTACAGAGCAGGATGGGATATACCTCCTGCCCACAAGGCACTTGCAGTCTAGTCTATGATTTGCAACTTGAGCAAAATAAAATTGTCCAGGTACCATAGTAGAAGCCCTCAGATGGGCTGTGGAAGTTCCAAGAAGGAAGAAATGACAGTATTAAAGAAAATCAATGAAAACACAGGTTGGAAGATTGATAAAATGGATGTAACAGGAGGGAAGTGGTAGGACCATTCGAAAGGTTTCAAAGAAAAGACAAGGAAAGCAGAGGTGGAGCCGGTAAACTGCGCACTTGGTCCCGGATCCCCATGTTGTTGAAGAGCAGGTTCAAGAAGGGGAGAGGCAGAACTGGAGAGGTGGGGGGAAGTAAGGGGACCCCAATGGAGTTCATCATTTGAACATGTCATCGGTGGGAAACCAGCTGTGCATCCCGAGGGAAGAAGACAGAACCAACAACATGAAAAATGAATGGAAATATATTTCGCATGCAGCATGGCTTCTGCACAGAAGCCAAGCATCTCCCGTGTTTCCCAGCTGAAAAAGAGCCACTTAGTCCAACGTCAGGACAAGCTGGCTGTTTTGGGTGTGTTGAACTTCCCGAAGGAAGTCATAGTACACTTCAAATGATCAACATTCTTTTTTATGGGTGACTTGCAGGATTTCTTGCGGGAAAATTTGACAATTCTTTTTTTTTTAATTTGAACACAAGATTTATTGTAGTTTTACGTCTTTATAATAAATTTGACAATTCTTAATGTTTGGAATTTGAACTGGCTTTATAACATAACCTCCCTCTAACATGTGATCCACCGATGACCTAGTGATTGAGGGGAGGAGGGTGGAATTCAGAGTTTGAGACCTTAGAGTCATTTCCAGTAAAGAATAAGATGATGTTGGTATTTACACATCCCAAAATAGTGGGGGAGATTTCCTATTTAGAGTTCCCACTGTCTACTGGTCATTATGTTACTTACTGGGATTTCAGAGATGAATGAGACACTGTACTTGAGATAAAGGAGTTTTACAGGGGATATGACGAGGAAGAACTCCTGATTGGGGCTGGGGGTGTATCGTCACATGTAAGCCATCATGTGACACTAGGGATGTTTCGGGAGCAGGCTAGCCTAGCTGAAGCGGTAGGTTTGCATAAGATGTTAATTAAATACAAATCTGAAAGAGAGGTCTGTGGGTGCTGGGATGGGCAGTGAGGAGCCACCGAGTTCTTTGGACCAAGGAAGCAAGAGAATAAAAGCTGTACTCCAGGAAAATTTCTATCTTATAACCTATTGTCTTTTTCTATTTTAGAAAACCAAGATGCGTGAATCACACCCAAATCCAAATGAAAGATTTGAGCCAGGTAGGGGGGATTCTTACTGGAAGCATTTGCTGAGAGGACAGAGAATGTAAAGTCATAAAGCCCTGGGTAAAGAGGGGGGTGGTCTCATGCACGAAGAAATTTTTGACTTTGATGTTTTCTGACCCGCCGTTTCACTTGGGAACTGCCTCATGGGAGCCCTGGAATGACCTCAGTCAGGATGTTCTCAAACATAATAGAGCCAGCGCATTAACCTGCCAAGAATTGGTTTATTTAAAAAACTTGGTGGGTCATTTCGCCTCTGAAGGAGCCCATAGATCATTTATGAAGGAACTAGAAGGATCTGTTGGAAATTCTCTTGGCGGTGATGCTCAGCAGTTCAGGTTAGGATTTTATTGCTTTGAGCTGCAAGCCAAGACGAAATCCATGTAATGGAGGGCATCTGAAATGTAGTTTCCATTAAGATATTAGGATGAGCAGGCAAAGACTTGAAAGCAACTCTAATTAACTCAAGAACATAGAAATTGCACCAGAAAACTAGAATCTTTGTTTAAAAATAGGCAGATGGGGGACGCCTGGGTGGCTCAGTTGGTTAAGCGTCTACCTTCGGCTCAGGTCATGATCCCAGGGTCCTGGGATTGAGTCCCGCATCGGGCTCCTTGCTCAGCGGGGAGTCTGCTTCGCCCTCTGCCTGCCACTCCCCCTGCTTGTGCTCTCTCTCTCTCTGACAAATAAATAAATAAATAAATAAAATCTTTAAAAAAATTAGTCAAGTGGGAATTCTAAAAATGAAACATAAATGCAGTATCAGAAGCTAAGAACTCAGTAGGTGGATTTAAGAGCAGAATGGATGTGGCAGATGACAAGATGAGTAAATGCAACTTCAGGTCAATAAAAAAAAATATCCCTGGAGGGAATATACTGTGAAATGCTCATTTAATGGAATACCTTGCAGCAAAACAAAACAAAACAAAAATACAAACTACTAGACATTTTTTCCAAAGAAGACATCCAGATGGCCAATAGACATGCGAACAGATGCTCGGCATCACTCATCATCAGGGAAATGCAAATCAGAACCACAGTGAGATATATCACCTCACACCTGTCAGAATGACAAAAATCCAAAACACAAGAAACAACAGGTGTTGGTGAGGATGTGGAGAAAAAGGAACTCTTGTGCACTGCTGGTGAGAAAGCACACTGGTGCAGCCACTGTGGAAAGGAGTATGGAGGTTCCTCAAAAAATTAAATGCCATCGATCCAGTAATTCCACTACTGGGTATTTACCCAAAGAATATGAAAACAATAATTCAAAAAGATATATATGCACCCCTATGTTTGTTGCAGCATTAATTACAATAGCCAAGATACGGAAGTAGCCCAAGTGTCTATCCACAGATGAATGGATAAAGATGTGGTGTATATATACAATGGAATATTATTCAACCATAAAAAGAATGAGATCTTGCCACTTGTGACAACATGGACGGACCTAGAGGGTGTTACGCTAAGTGAAATATGTCAGACACAGATAAAAACCATGTGCTTTCACTTATATATGGAATCTAAAAAAACAGAACAAATGAACAAACAGACAAAAAGCAGAAACAGGTGCATAAATACAAGGAATAAACTGGTGGGTGTCCCGAGAGGAGGGAATGGGGGAATAGGCAAGATGAGTGGAGGGGAGTGGGAGGCCCAGGCTTCCAGTTATCGAAGGAGTAAGTCATTGAGATGAAAGGTACAGCATAGGGAAATACAGTCAGTGGCATTGGAATAGCGTAACGCAGTGGCGGATGGTCGCTGCCCTTCTGGTGAGCATAGCATAATGTATAAAGAGATTGAATCACTGTGTTGCACACCCGAAACCAATGTAGCCTTGTGTGTTAGCTATATTTCAGCTAAAAAAAATACAAAGTATCGACATATGCAACAAGTGGAATTGACTCATAAAGAAATCGTGTAAGCAAAAGAAGCAAAACACACACACAGAAAGTACACTCTATGATTTCATTTTTATGAAACTCAACAGGTAAAAATTGTCTATGGGTGGTAGACATCATTGGTGGTTCCTTCTGGGGGACAGCTATTGGCTAGGTAGGAGGAAACACTCTTGGGTGCTAGAAATGTTCTGTAACTTGATTTGTGCAGTGATTATGTGGGTACAGTCACGTAAAATTCCACTGAGCGGGACACAGAAGGTCTGTGTACTTTATTGTGTATAAGAAATAGCTAAATTTAAAAAAAATACCAGAAAAGATATTTTCCCCATATAATCCCTATTTCTTCTTTCTCACCTTTCTTATACTGGAAGGAAGGCCTCTTGGTATCTTCAGTTACTTCTACGGATGCTGGAAAGTCCTCCAAGGAGGAAGGGGCTTGAATGCCTTCAGAAAGCTGCAGAGCATGTACCATGGGTCACTGCCCTTGGAGGTAAGAAAAGTCAAGTCATCTTTGGAGAGCATCTACTCTGAGGTCTGGAGGAAGAAGGTCAAGACCTTGGCTCCCTGGTGAGTAAACACACCTCTTTAGAGGTACTAGGATGATGGCACTTCAGGAACCCTAGAAAACTTTGGCAAACAGTAGTCTAGACTCTTTTAAGTCATTAAAAGTACACGTGCGTGCATGTACAGTCAGCGTCTCTTGGGTCTTACGATATGCTGCAGAGGAATTTAAAAGGATTAATTATGGCATTATTGGGAATTCACTCTTATATTCTCATGGGAAGAGTCAGGAAGTGGTTAGCCCCTAACTGAAGGGCAGCAGGAGGAGCTGTGGCTGAGGAGGAAGAGGTCCTGGGGACTCTAACGCAGATCACCTCTGCTCACTCCGTGTTATTTTGCCAAGTTCTGCTGTTCACTCCTCCAAGTCATTACTTGCCCTCTCTGCAGTTCCCTCGAGGACAGATCAAACCACCAGAATGGTCCTGTTGGACCAGATGCATGGGTAGCTAGGTTCTGCCTTACTGGCTTTCTGTTTGGATTTGCAAGAACATGTTGAGCCTCTAAGTGGGAAGTACAGATAATCAGGAAGGATTGGTAGAACTGGCGGGTGAAGAACTGGCTTTGAAGGGAGGCAGGCTGAGACTTTGTGGCTGAGCTGGGAGGAAGAGCCGCCTCTTAATCACTAGAGACCAGTCCAAGTTTTTAGCCAGATCAAATTCTTGAATTGCTTTCTTTTAAAACATTTGTACGAGAAGGCTTAGCTGGCTTGGAATTTTCAGATGATTTACATTGTGGATAGAGAAAGCGGGAGGATATTTATGCATACACTAGGCTATTCATCATGTAAACCCTCAAAATGCATCAGTGTCAAAAATGAGCATGTCATTATTGAATACACATGACATGAGGTGGACCTGAGCCGTCTCCCCTTCTGTTGGATGGAACCTCTAGGAATGGCCATAATTCCCTCATTTCCTGACAGCCAGGTAATGCCAAGCCAGGGCATGGGAATAGAATGAGTCTGAGGCCCCCCTTCTCCTCCAGGGTTTACAGAATTGAGGGGAATCTGGGGCCAAGTTCTTCTCACCGAGAAACCTCAGGTTTAAGTAACTCTGTAGATTTGAGAAGGTAGCTCCACATTCTGAATTACTCGTCACTGATCAAAAGAAGGAAATATTCTAATGGATCCACTTTCCTGTTTCCTAGTGAGGAGGCGTGTGGAACAAAAGAGAAAAAAGTGAGTCAATGTATTTTTTTGTTTGTTTAAATTGAAGACTCTCCATTCAGTTAGGATGGAATTTGATTACAAGAGAAACTGTGGTGGGCCTTTATTAGGTAGGGTTGCATAATTAGGCCTGAGAGATAGAGACAGATGGACTCATCAGTCCATCTCCCTAACCATCCCATCCACCCATTCATCCATCTATCTACCTACTCATTTACCACCCACCTATCCATTTATCTGTTCATCCATCCACTCATTCACCCATCCATCTATCCATCTACCCACCCATCCAACCATCTACCCACCCATCCATCCACTCATCCACCCATCCGTCCACTCACCCACCCATCTATCCATCCATCCACTCATCCATCCATTTATCTATTCATCCACCCATCTATTCACTCATTCACCCATCCATCCATCCACCCATCCATCCATCCACCCACCCAACCATCTACCCACTCACCCATCTATCCATCCATCCACTCATCCATCCATCCATCCACCCATCCATCCATCCATCCATCCATCCATCCATCCATCCATCCATTTATCTATTCATCCATTCATCCATTCACCCATCCATCTATCCATCTATCCACCCATCCAACCATCTACCCACCCATCCATCCACTCATCCACCCATCTGTCCACTCACCCACCCATCTATCCATCCATCCACTCATCCATCCATCCACCCATCCATCCATTTATCTATTCATCCACCCATCTATTCACTCATTCACCCATCCATCCATCCACCCACCCAACCATCTACCCACCCACCCATCTATCCATCCATCCACTCATCCATCCATCCATCCATCCATCCATCCATCCATCCATCCATTTATCTATTCATCCATTCATCCATTCACCCATCCATCCACCCACCCAACCATCTACCCATCCATCTATCCTTCCACCCACCAATCAACATTTATTGATTATATACTATGTGCCAGACACAGTTCTAGGCTTCAGAGATACTCTGCTGATCAGGGCAGAAAAAGTCTTTCCTCTCATGAAGCCTACATTTTAGTCAGGAAGACAGACCAAAAAAACCCAAGTAAATGCTTCCTTATGTGCTACAAAGAAAATAAGAGTGATGACAAAACAGCTGGAGGATGATTGGTGATTACTCTGGGTTCCAGTTCAAACCGCTTTGACTATAAACATTCTTCTCTCACAGTTTTCTGAATTCTTCTGCAGTGAACATTTGGGTCCAGTTTACGAGATTTTGGGGGGTACATTGCAGTGGTGGGGCAGGATTTATTGTGCTTTCTTGATAGCAACTATGTCTGTATGCAAAGTCTGCCTGAAGAAGCACACAGGAAGGAACTCATCAAGATAAAGAGGCTTGTGGAATTCTGGAACAGGAGACAGACACGGAGTTTACTTTATAGCTCTTTCAGTCTCCTGAGATCATATGTAAATCAGTGATGGCGTATTAAGTTCCTCTCAGCTCAGTAGGGGGGAAGCCAGTCCTTGTGACTCACTGGCATGTTGCTGCTCTGTACAGATGGTTCATTGCTGGAAGGAGGAGAGGCATGTGCTCACACACAACATGGTGAGGTTTGGACCCAGGACCCTAGTGGGTGCCAGGAGGGCAAGGTGAGTAGATTGTGAGCCATGACAGCAAGGCTTCCCCCATCCTTGCCCTCTACTTCTCTCCCCTCTACACGGTCCCTCTTCCCTCCCTTGTCTTTCATCCTTCAAACTGTTGAAACCAGCCATCCACACCCAAGGCTGTGTCAAATTGTCAGTGTCTTCCTCAGTGGCCATTTGGATGGCTTCCTATAAATGCCAGACATGATGCTTTGCTTTCTGTCCCGGGCTTGTTCTACTTCTATGACGCTTCACGCTGGCTCATTATTTCTTCTGGAAAGCACTTTTTCTTTGACTTTTGGGACACCACTCTTTCTTAGTTCCCTTCCAATTCGGGGGGGAAACCAGACTGACAATTGAGAAAGGTGTAGCTGGGAAAAGCTTCAGGAAGCAGGTGGACTGGCTCCAGGTGCGCTTAGAGGGCTAAGTGGATGAGTTCCTGGTGTAGGAAACAAGGCAGGGCCATGCCTTCACCCCAGCCCCTAGTTCCTTCTCTAAAAGATGCAAGTAACTGAGAAATTCTGTTGTTCTCTTTTTGTAGAGATGAGTTTCTAGGAACAGCTCACATCAGGAGGGTAAGTGAGATATCTTTGATCACATCAAAGTCAAGCTCTGTGAACCTTTGTGCATAACAGTGGTTTTCAACCTGTGGAATAGGGGTGTGATCTTGCTTCCCTGGGAGCATTCAGCCATCTTTAGAGACATTTTTGGTTGCCACAGCCTGGGAACAGGAGAGCAGTGCCACTAGCGAGTAGAGGCCAAGGACGTTGCTAATCATCCTACAATGCACAGGACAGCCCCCAGCAACAAAGAATTATCTGGCCCTAGATGTCAGTAGTGCCAAGATTGAGAAATGCTGATGTACGCTCGTCTTAATTTATTTCTTAATCTTCTAAGTTTTTATTTTTATTTATTATTTATTATTATTTTTTAAAGATTTTATTTATTTGACAGAGAGAGAGAGAGCACAAGCAGGGGGAGTGGCAGGCAGAGGCAGAGGGAGAAGCAGGCTCCCCGCAGAGCAGGGGGAGCCCGACGTGGGACTCGATCCCAGGACCCTGGGATCACGACCCGAGCCGAAGGCAGTCGCCCAACCAACTGAGCCACCCAGGCGCCCTAGGGTTTTTTGTTTTTTTTTTTAAAGCCACCAGTTAGCATTAGCATTTTCACTACCCAAAGTCTCATTTTAAAGTGGATGAATAGTATATTTTTTTAAAGGTCTGTGAGCAACTTAAAAAAAAGGGGGGGCTTATTCTCAATAGGCGTAAAATCACCTATAAACAGCACCATAAATTTGCATCTGATCTATCATCCATAGGTTTTTATATAGCGTGATACACATATTACTTGCTGCTGTAAGTCCTAGGAATCTGTGAGATCCAAGGGCTTACGAGGTGACTCTACTGCCCTTTCTTCTCTGGTGGGAACGTTTATCAGCACAGAGTATGAGTAGGGGAGAGGACAGCATAGTTCAGTGGTTCTCCAACTTCAGTGAGATCACCTGGAGGACTCATTACAACACAGACCAGGCCCTGCCCCCCCGATTCCCATTCAGCAGGTCTGGGGTACAGCCCGAGATTTCGTATCTCTAACTCCTGGGTGATGCTGCTTTTCTGAGGACCACACTTTGAGAACTACCACCATAGTTTTACTGGGAGAGGTGTAGTTTTTTTCTTGGAAAATGCCCCCCAAAACGACGTTTTTATCTCAGGTCTAAGTACCAAGTTACATAAGGGGCTCTTGGATCCCCTGAGTCCAGCATGCCATGATCCCAGCAGGGGACAGAAGCTGGGTAGTTTTCTTGCTCAACCTCAGAGAGAATGAGGTGCCCTGTGTGTGTGTGTGTGTGTGTGTGTGCACGCATGTGTCTGTATGTGCAGTCCACAACCTTTGCTTACCCCAGAATAGTAAGTGTGCCATTTGAAGCAAGTGTACATCTTTTGTGGTCTGTTTTTACTCCATTTTGGATCAATCTCAATGTTCCAGGTCAGTAGACAGATACAAAACAACTCTGATCCAAGGTCCCAATCAGGAACTCATTTAAATTGAAGCACACTCATGAAAATAATTCTTGAGGCTCTTATTTAATTAACAAAAATCTTCCTGCCCTCAAAGTAGTATTATGTGCATTTTAGATCATTATAAAATACAGATAAACAAAAATTTTAAAATTACCACCACCCCAAAATTGCCGTTAATGCCAAAGCTCTGTCTTTCCATGTGTGTATGTCTTGTACCCTGCATTTTATGGTTAGTGATCTTCACCTTCCCATGGCAATACCTTTCTGTGTTCTCTAGTATTTGGGCTATATTCAGATTTCCACAATTGGGTCCCAGTTCCCTTTCCAGAATCCAGGTCCACATTTTGTATCTGGAGTTAGGTCCTCTAAAGCTCCCGATCTAACCTCATCCCTTTTTCTCACCACACTGATGTGCTGATGAGAACAGGCCAGTTAAACAAAAGATGTCCCCAGTTCTGGATGGTGCTTCTTCAGGGTGTCCCTTGGCTTATTCCTTTATCCCTGGTACCCTATACCGGGAATTAAATTTGAGGATTTAACATCATCAGTCTTCATGTTAAGGATTTCTGTTAGTACACCTCATAGGTGAGGTTTGGTGTTCTTACCGTGTCCAACATAAGACACATAATATCTGGTCGACCTGCCTAACTATGTGCTGACATTTACCACTCCATGATGGTGATGACTGACTGATGCCTCCATGGTGCATTCCATTTCACCCCTTGCTACGAGGAAGTCATCTGTGAATTTTTATTTTCGTAGTATGAATTTCTAATTCCTCATGAAGTCTTTAAAGCTTTTTAAAATTTTCATTTATAAACAGCTTTACTGAAGCATAGTTATTATACAATAAACACATATTTAAAATGTACAATTTGATATGCTTTGACATCTATCTCCACGAAACTATCACCACCATCATGATAATAAATGTATTATCAATCCCCAAAATATCCTCAAATCCCTTTGTAATTCCTCCCTCCCTTGCTCCCTGTACCCCAGCTGCTCCCCTCTGTCCCCAAGCAATCACCCATCTGCCTGCTGTCACTAGGTCACTGCAGATCAACTTGCATTTTCTAAAATTCTGTATTAAAAAAAGATCATGCAGTATGCACTTCTAGCTTCCTTCATTCAGCATAATTTTTTGAGATTTATCCATGTCGATGCATGAATCCATAGTTGACTTGTTTTTATGCCTGGGTAGTATTCCTTTGCATGGGTATGCCATAGTTTGTTTAGCCATTCATCCAGTTGGTGGACCTTTGGGTTGTTTCTGCTTTTTTGGTTGTTACTAAAACTGCTCTAAATATTTGTGTACAAGTCTTTGGGTGGACATACGCTCTCCTTTCTCTTGGAGTTGTACATAGGAATGGAATGGCCGGGTCAAATGGGAGGTGCATGTTTCAACTTTTTAAGAAATGCTGGCACTGTTTCCAAGGTGGTTGGAGCATTTTCCACTTCTACCAGCTGGGAATGAGAGTTCCAGTTGCTCCATATCTTCACCAATCTTAGTATGGGTCAGCCTTTTTAACTGTAGCTATTCTTTTAGGTGTGTGGTAGTGTCTCACTTTGGTTTTGATTTCCTTGTTGCCTTAGGATGTTAAAAGTCTTCTCGTGTGCTTATTTAGCTACCTTCTATCTCTTTGGGTAAAGCGTCTGTTCAAACGTTTCACCCATTTTGAATTGAGTTGTTTGTAATTTTTGAGTTTTGAGAGATATTTATGTGTTTTGGAAACAAGTTCTCCCTCAGGTAGGTGATTTACAAATATTTTCTGCTGGTTTGTGTCTTGTCTCTTCATTCTTTTTTTTTTTTTTTAAGATTTATTTATTTATTTGACAGAGAGAGAATCAGCGAGAGAGGGAACACAAGCGGGGGGGTGGGGTGGGAGAGGGAGAAGCAGGCTTCCCGCTGAGCAGGGAGCCCTAAGACATGGGGCTCAATCCCAGGACCCTGAGATCATGACCTGAGCCAAAGGCAGACGCTTAACGACTGAGCCACCCAGGCACCCCTTGTCTTTTCATTCTGTTAACAGTGAGACCAGGGGCTGGAAGAGGCCTTGAGGTCGGTCTACTCTGAAGCTCTTGTTTTGTAGATGAGGAAACTAGGACCAGAAGTTCAAGTGACTTGCCCAGGGTTGCACAGTGAATGGGTGACCGAGCTCAGATCAGGTCCTTTGTCTTATAGCAGGCTTGCCTCTTTGAGCTTCATCCATGAAATAATTTAACTTAGGTTATTGAGAAGTAAAATATCCAGTCAAACTAGCTATATGTCATTATGAAGACCCAAAGATGCATTATTAAATTCTGCCAACCTTCCCCAAACTTAAAAAAAAAAAAAAAAAACTTTACTGATTGGATTCAAGCTGGTATTCTAAGTAGACAGATCCACTGGCTCATCTCTCTTTAGAATGTTTGTATGCCCAGAACCATTCGCTCAGTCTAAATGATATCTTGTGATTTTTCTCAGACAGCCAAAAAGAAGAGAGGAAACAAAATTCCTGTTCTGACCCACAGCTTGGTCAGATTCTGCTCAAGGACGCTTGTGGGAGCCAAGGGGGCAGCAGATATTTCTGACCAGTGAGTAGGTTTGGGTGGGTGGGCGGGAGGAACTTGTCAAACAGACCCTGGGACCTAAGATATCACAGCTCTACAGGACCATGAAATTAGAAGGGAATTTGGAAGGCACCTTGTCCACTCCAGCCCATTCACAGCTGTGAAAAGGGCATGACTCTATTTGCCTTGGCCACCGTCGTGCACTGACAGATGAAATATGATTCAGCTGAGAGATGACCATGACAGGTGTATGTGGAGACGAGGAGAATAGGATTGAGGGTCAACCATTCTGAGACTGAATGGAGAAAAGAAGAAAGAAAATATTGAAAGCTTTCAAAAGGAGAATTTATTATCTTGGTCATGGTCTCAACTGTGGCATCCAGTAAGGACAGAAATGCTATGGGGCTCAAGCCATTGTGCTGTCCATTTCTGGCTTACTTTATCCATAGCTCGATGGAGGCACAGACCAATTTTGCAGACATTTTTTCCTTCAATGGTAATGAGCTGACACCATCTCAAGGGGGAAATGTAACATGGATCCATGCATCCAACTTAGTTTTAGGTTTAAAAAGTCAGTTCTGTAAGCACAGCTTTGTATAGGCAGAAGCATCCTTGCATCTTCTGGGCTAGTCAAACTGCATTTGGACCATGCTTTGAGCTCCTGGGGCCTTGTGTTAAGAGGAACATTAGCAAATTGTTACCATATTCCAAAGGTGGGTGGTGAGGGGACTGGAAACCATGTCGTATGGGGAAGGGTTGGAGAAGTTGGGGATTTTAAACAAAGCCTGGCGAGGAGAATCATGAGCTGGGATGGTGGTCTGCCGTTATTGAAAGGGTACCATATGGAAGAGGGATTCAATTTCTTCTGAATTGCCCTTGATGATTAGACCAGAATCAAGGCGAGGAAACAGACATGAAGACAGACCCTGGCTTCCTGAAAGGACACCCTTTCTTTTAGTTTTCACTGACTTGGTTGGGCTGCCTCGCCGAGGAGTGGCCTGGGAGGTCATCCTGGCTTCCCTGCATTTGTAAGAAGCTAGGGTTTGCAGACCTAAAGGAGCTCTTACCTGTGCCAAGATTCAACCCCTCTACCTTCTTCCTTCTCTCTTCCCTCTTTCTCTTTTCCTTGTGTGTTACCCATACAGGTGCACAGAGTGTGCACAAGACTATGTAAGGCACAGACCTTACTTTCTCTTTGTAGGCACTCTTTGGGAAAAATATTGTTCCATATTGTCACTAATAGACTACTAAGTACATATTATCACTAATATACTACGAATATACCCCTTTACTAAAGGGGTGAAGTGAAAGAGAACTCTTCTTTGGCTTACAGATGTTTTTTCACTCTGTCAGTTGGGGTTCGGTTCTCCAGAGAAACAGAACCAATAAGATGGGTGTCTATATATAGGAAGAGATTTATTTCAAGGAAGTGGCTCACATGAGTGGGGAGGGTGACACACTGGAGACTCAGGAAGGAGCTGCAGGTCAAGTCCAGAGGCTGGAGGCTGGTTCTGGAGAGGGCAGCCTTTTGTTCTATTCGGGCCTTCAACTGATTAGATGAGGCCCACCCACATTATGGAGGGGGATCTACTCTACTCAGAGTCCATTTAAATGTAAATATCATCCAAAAAACACCCTCACAGAAACACCCAGAATAATGTCCGACCAGATCTCTGGGCACCCTGTGGCCCAGCCAAGTTGACATATAAGATTAGCCATCACCCCCATATACAGCCTTTTGTGTCTATCCCTGGAATGCTTTTTGGCAAGAGTTTTGTAGAAGCAAGCACCTCCCTTCACTCTTTTCATGTGTTAATCATCAATGTTAATCCCTGCATCAGTCCCCAAGAAGCAAGAACTTCCATTTCCCTAAGTGAAGTATCTAAAATAGTCAAATTCGTAGAATCAAAGAGTGGATGGTAGTTGTCAGAAGCTGGGGGAAGGGGAAATGGGGATGTATTAATCAACAGGCATAAAGTGTCATTTAAGCAAGAGGAGTCAGCCCTAGAGATGTGCTGTACAACATTGTCCCTATCTCCAACAATTCTGTATCGTACCCTGAGCATTTGTTAAGAAGGTGGATCTCTGAACAAATTGTGAACTGTTCTTACCACAATTAAAAAAAAAAAAAATTAGCTGAGGAGGTGGAGGTTTGGGAGGCCAGGTGACTTGCCTGAGATTGTACAACGCTGAAGAGGCCAAGACAGGGTCCAGGTCTTACTGTTTCCGCAGCAGATGGTCTCAACCACCAGGCCATCCAGCCCCCCTGTGCGGGTGAACAGAACCTCAGGCTTACAGCAGAGCTTTGCCCTCTGCTTGGCCTCATGTCATTTCAGACCATGGGTGTTCTCACCATCTTCCCTGTTCTTTGTCTAGGGAGCAGGCAGCTGGAGTCAGGTATCAGAAAAGGGTGAGTGACATTCTAAATATATGACTTGCTACCCTTCCCACTGCTATTCTCTGTCCAGGGAAAAGAGGGAGAAATTTTTAAGCAAGGGCATCTGCAAGGGGACTGTAACTTTGTCCAAGATGGCCTTGGGATCATGAGCAGTCATAGAGGAAAACCCTAACTAACATGCTTCTCCATAAATGACCGAGCAATAGTTTCTTCATTAAAAGAAATACTTTATTTCATTGGTTCTGGGCATGCCTGTTTTCACACTTCACCATCTCTGAAATTGGGATGTGTCCCACATTGATAGCATCTTAGCATTATGTCATAGCCCGCTTGGCAGCTATATATTTTTTTCCTTAAGAATATATTTTTAAAAACCATAGTACTAACGAAATATAGTTGCTATGTCATGTGACAATCGGGTCAGATCAACTGTTGCTTACAATAGTTATTCATCAGCTAGAACTTTGGGTTCACTCTTTAAAATTTAAGAATTATCATGCAGTAAAGTGAACTTTTACAGGGTACATGTGTGGTCTATGCATTTTAACCACGCACAGGTCCACGCAATCACCACCACATTTAGGATGCAGAACAATCCAAATCATGCCCCCAAAATCTCTCTTGTGTTATCTCTTCATAGCCCTCCTCCTTTCTTCCCAAATGCCCCCCAACCCCTGGCAATCACTGATTTCTTCTCTCTAGTTGTATCTCTTTGAGACAGTCTTATGAAGGGACTCATACAATATGCAAGCTTTTGAGACTAGCTTTTTTTTCACTTAAAATGCCTTTGTGATTCATTTAAGCTCCTGCCTACTGCATGTGTCAATAGTTGGTTCTTTTTTTTTTTCTGAATAGTGTTTGATTGTATGGATGAGCTACAATTCGTTAGGTCATTCACCTGTTGAAGAAAGTTGGATTGCTTCCATAGTTAAGCGGTTATAAATAGAGCATCTATAAACATTCATGTACATGTGCCTGTATGAACATGTTTGTTTCTGGAGGGCAAATCCCTGGGTGTGGGATCACTGGGTCTCATGGTATGTGCATGGTTTAGCTTTAAAGAGATTGACAAACTCTTTCCCAAAGTGGCTGCACCATTTTGTACTCCCATCAGCAATGTATGAGAATTCTGGTTGCTCTGCGTCCCTGTCAGCGCTTAAGGCTGTATATTTAATTTTAACCATTCTAACAGGTAAAAGAGTGGTATTTCTCTGTGATTTTAATTTGCATGACTAGGATGACGGATGACGATGAATAACTTTTCATGGGCTTATTTGTTATCCATATATATTCTTTGATTCAGTATCTCTTCAAGTCTTTTGTCCACTTTTGGGATTGGTTGTTTTCCTATTGTTGAGTTTGAGGGTTCTTTATACATGCTGGATACAAATCCTTTGTGGGATACAAGTTTGCAAATATTTTAATGCAAACTGTAGCTTGTCTTTTCATTCTCTTAAAAGTGTCATTCACAGGGCAAATGTTTTCATTTTGATGAAGTCCAACTTATTTTTTAAAAAATTAGAGTTTTTGCTCTTGGTCATGTCAAAAACCTTTTTTGCCTAACCCCAGGTCCCCCAGATTTTCTGTTGTCATGAAACAAAAAGTTTTATAATTTTACAGTTTAATCTATGATTCATTTTGGGTTAATCTTGTATCAGGTATGAGAATCTCGATTGAAGTTCCTGTTTTTTTATTATTGTTTTTTTGCATACAGAGTTTGAATATTCAAGCAGCATTTTTGAAAAGACTATCCTTTCTCCTTCGAGTTGTTTTTGCACCTCTGTCTTAACGGGCCATATTAAGTGGGTGTGTTTCTGGAATCTTTGCTCTGTTTTTAACTTTTCAACAATACACGCTGTCTCGATTACAGCAAGTGGCTCACTTTGGGTTTAAATTAATGTCATTCTATGAATGGGATTGTCACAGCCCATGTAATGTGACACGTTGACCTAGGCTGGATCTACACAGTGGTAAGAATCAGAAGACTAAGGAAGCTTCAAAGAGGCGAGAATGGGTGACTCGGAGACATGGAATCCGGAGAAGGGAAGGGCTGGGGTATCAGGCTGTAGTTCTCCATTATACTCTGAGTCAGTTACACTCTGACTTTTTAATACTCTGTATCTGTTTTACTTTCAAGTGTTCGATACCAATTTTTGTTATTTAAAGAGGAATGGAGACAAACGGGCAATATTAATGGGCATTTTGGAGGTACTGGTAATGTTCTGCTTTTTGTTCTGGGTGCTGTTGAGCAGGTGTTTTCCTCTTGCGCAAACCCACTGACTTGTTTGCTTAAGCTCTGTGCACTTTTCTCCACGTGTATCACATACTTTAATCAAGGAGTTTACAAAAAATGTAGCTACCTCAGGGACTGGGATTGTGAGTTGAGAGATGTAGAATTTTACTTTCCACATTATAACTGTCTGTTATTTTTTTCTCTCCCGTGTTTTGATGTATTACTTTATAAAACGATATTTATAGGGATTTTCAGCATGTCAACTATAAGGAGAGAAGAAAGTGGACCTTTACATATGCACATAGTGAAGATGCCCAAGATAAACCTCTAAGAGAAAAAAACAAGCCGTGGAACAGTATGGTACAGTATGACGCTTAAAAAAAAAAAAAAAGAGTGGCGAGTCATCTACCCACTAACTTGGCTTTTTTTCTTCCTTAATTATGTATTTCCTTAATTGTATATGTAAGGGCCAGAATTCTGAGAGGTGGTGGGGATTCCATTTTCAATATTATACTTTTCTGCGCGGGACTTTTCCAGAGTGAACATGTATCCATTTGATAATTATTAAAAGCAAAAAGAAATGGGAAAGTTAGTTATAAAATAATAAAATTAATGGATACACTGATGTAAGGCATTTTGGTCAATCTTAGGCTGTCACGTTCGTTGGGATCTCTTGAGACCAAAGCCTGAGCCTTGTTTTATCTTTGCAATTATCCGTAGCATTTGGCACGTGGTAGGTTCTCACTGGATGCTATTTAAAATAAAACACATAAATAATAAAAGTACTTCTTTGGACTTGTTCAAGTTAGTGTCATTGTTTTGTTCTGGCTCATTACTTTCAACTTTTCTTTAGGTCGGTCTTTTTCACTAATTCACTGTGATCGATTCTCCAGAACAAGACTTAACAACACCCCAGAACCAGGGAGCGGAAATCAGTCAGGTGTCAGAGGCTGTCTGTCCCCATCACTGGGTACCCTTGCCTACAATGCCCTTTCTCATCCTTATTTACGTGACCCCTGTATTTGATGTGTATGGCCCACGGGTAGCCCCCCACTTGCAGGATGCTATAAAACAACTCTCTGATGTTGACGATGTGGGGATGAACACCTGTCATGAGTACCCCTTTACCTTCAGATCGTCAAGCTCTTTATGTGTCCCCCTAAAAAGATGCTGTGAAATAAGCACTAGATTTGTCCCCATTTTATCAATGACATTAATGTTGCAAAAGCCATGTAACATGTCCCACGTCACCCAACCCGTAAGCCGTGGAGGTGGCCCCCTTTGTTTATATCGCTTTGCACATCTGTCATCTTCTCCTGCCCTAGAATGGACACGTGGCCCCGGCCTGGGTAATCCGACACGTGGTAGTGAATTTCAAGATGGTCACATGGCCCTAGTGGCTGTCAGTACCTTAGTTTGAACTACTGGGAAAGAGGAATCTCTCTCTATTTAGGTTTTAAGCAGGTCGGGCATGAGCCTGGAAATGTTGGTGTTCATCTTGTCCTGATGAAGGGGGGAATCTGTTGAGAGTGAAACCTACCCAGGAGACTCTGCTGCTGAGAGATGGAATAAAATAAATAAAATAAAAACGCAGAAACAAACAAACAAAAAGACTGAATCCTGGTGGCGGGGCACCATTTGGTTGCCTGGATCTAGCCATGCCTGAAATAGGATTTCCAGTGACTTAGGTGGGTAGATGTTTGAGTTGAGTTTATGCCACATGTAGCCCCCAAAGTCATTACTGAATTCTCAAGGATTCAAATGGGAGATGGGGTGGTAACAAGTAGGAGAGGCCGAGGACAACCAGGGTGACCCACTCTGATTCCTATGTCTCCACCACCCCTTGAGGGATCCCAAGTCCAAGAAGACCATCTATTTTCAGGAAGGGTGATGGAGGGGGGCTGGCAGCTGGCGGGGTCCTTCCTGGCTCAGGAGACCACATCTGCCTGGTTGCTGCTGGGCGGCTGACCTGGGGTCCCTCCTCCTGCCCCGGGCCCAGCCCACCATGCTGATTGGATGCTCCTCCTCCAGGGCACCAGCCTCTGTGTTTCTGACCCTCCATCCTCAGCCCTGCCCTCACAACCAACTCCTCTGCTGATGACACCGAGCACGTTTGCTTGGAATGTTCTGGAGATGGACAGTTGAACCCTAGAGGGCTTTATTTTGGTGTCTGGAATCCCCACTAGCAACTTTGGAACAAGTAGGGCCCTCTGGTTAGGCATTACTTGATTCTCTGATGACACAGAGAGCTGGTAGTTCTTTGGGCTCAGGAGTAAGCACACGGGGAGGGTGCTCGTGTCTCCTTGAGAGATCGGCCCCATTTCCTCTGGTTCTTGCTTTCCCCAAGGGAGCCTCACAGATTTCTTCTGGGCGTTGGCTATCAGTCAAGATCCAGGCTGGAAACAGATGTGCACTCAAGTGGGGTGTATTCATTTCCTAGAGCTGCTGTAATAAATTGCCACAAACTGGGGGGCTTAAAGCAACAGGAATGTATTGTGAGACAATACAGGAGGCCAGAAGTCTGCAGTCAAGGGGGTGGCAGGGTGGTGCTCCCTCTGAAACCCGTAGGGGAGAGCTCTTCCCTCCTGGTCTCATCCTAGCTCCTGGTGGTTGCCGGCAATCCTTGGCATTCCTTGGCTCGTAGCTCTAGCGGTCCAGTCTCTGTTTTGGTCATCACGTGGCCTTCTCCCTGTGTGTCTGTCTTCACACCGCTCTCATAAGGACGACTTATGTCACATTGATTTAGGGGTCCGACCTACCCCAGTGTGACCTCATGTTAACCAGTTACATCTGCAATGACCCTATTTTCAAGTAAGGTCACATTTCAAAGGGACTAGGGCTAGCGGGGAGCTAGGGATCCTGCAGCATCACTCTGTGGTCTGGGATGGCCACTGGCCTCTGTGACTCTGTGACTCAGTCCAGTCCCTTAACCATCCCCAAGCTGTCCCGGTTCTGCCCTGAGTATCTCACAGAGCACAGTCACCCTGAATTTCCTCATCTGTGAAGTGGATTTGTCAGCCCTGCCAGCGACTCAAGGTTCCTGAAGTCCGAACAGGGTCCCAGAGGGGAATGCTTCATTGGGGACTGGGAGCTGCCCAGAATTTTGCAGGATTACACCTGCGCTGTGCAGGCAGTCGGTGGAGAGAAGGTGGCTGTGAGATCGGCTTGGAGCCACAGGGACATCTGGTGGCCACTCCACATATTGCATGACACTTCCCCCAACCCCCAACTTACTCAATTTTTCCCCTCTCTGTTTCAGCGAAGGGTAGTGGGTTTTCCTTTGCTAGGCAGTGAGATGCCCCATCGCCAGAGGGCAGCAGACCCTGAGTGGACACAGGCACATCTGAAAGGCAATAGGGGCCAGCCAGCCGGAGGGAGACCAAAGTACAGGGACAGGAAATTCAACTTCAGGGCATTTGGGGTGCTGGCCAGTCAGTCCTGCTGAGGCCGCGTCCTCTTGCAGGGCCTTGACCTCCTCGTCTGCAGGGCAGCCAGTGGGCAGGGGGACACCGGAGCAGACACGGGATCACGGACACAGGAGGTCCTTCTTCCTGCCTTGTTCTGCATAAGGCTTCTCTGGAGGAGTCCCAGGGTCAGAGGTCTAACACCCCCCTTTGGAGTCCTCATGGCTCCCTGCCTTCTTGCCCCGAAGCTGCCTCTCTGTCTCTGCCCACCAATCAGGTTTCCGGTTTCCTGCAGCTGTTTTTCTCGCTGGTTCTGGCCCAAGCACCACTATAGTGCCTGATTCCCCAGCAGCAGGAATAAAAACCCCCAAAGACAGAAGGCTGATTCCCAGCCTGTCCTACCAGCTGCTCAGCTGACCGTCCTAAATTCTGGCACCGCATGCTGACCATCAGCCTTATCTTGGGGGGTGGGCTCGGATCCACAGTGATCACATGACCCTGGGCATTTCGCTTCCTAGATTCGGGTCTATACACGTGTCTGTGTACGGTACATATGTCAACTTTGTAAGCGGCTGGGGCCCGGGGGCGGGGAGGGCACCTGAACCCTCTTTCATTTATAAATATTGGAAAAGTTTGAGTCAGCAGTTACAATATTAGTGCAAAAAAACATACCCTATGCTTTTCCAAAATCCCAAGAATCATGAACTGTTTCGTGTAAGAAAAACCACCCCTCAGAGAGATGCCCACCAACAACCAGAATGCCGGTTTTAAGTGAGTTTTGCTTTGAGAATGCATCAAAAGGCTGGAGTGAGGTAGATAACCCCCAGGGCACCTTAGCATCAACTGAGAAATGTTTTAAAAACAGCTGTGCCTGGGCCCTCCTCGGACCCACTAATTCCAGGGAAGAAGCGGAGTCCGCCGTGTGCAGCCAACCTGGGAGCCTCTAGCCACGTGTAGCTGTTTCAATTCACATTCCTGCAAATGAGATAAAATTCAGAATTCAGCCTCACTGGCACACAGGCCACATTTCCGGTGGTCAACAACCACCTGTGGCTCGTGGCCACCACCTTGGACAATGCAGATGATAGAGTATCTCCATCGTTCCAGAAAGTTCTGTTTGGCAGGGCTGCCCTGGAGGGTTGCCAAGTCCTGCTTCTGACGTTGGAGGCTGACACGGGCAGGTCAGTCTTGTATAAACTGGAGGTGGTTTTCTAAGTTCCTGAGCGGGCTCATGGGCACAGTGCGTGCATGCGTGCATGTCGATATGGGGGTCGGACCCGTCATGGCTCCTCTTTTTCTGCTCGATGTCGCCCTACGGAGTCGGGAAGCTTCTGGAAGTGTGCCCTGGGAATGTCAAGTAGGAGAGACCCAGAGACCCTGCAGAGACTGGGCTGGCATCCAGGCCATCCTCACTGGGGTGGAGCACACCATAGGCAGGTGTATGTTAGGGACATGGCTCATGTTGGGGCCCTGTGTTGAGAGGACAGAGGACCAGCACCTTGCCAGGAAAGCCTTTATTCCCAGCGAGGTGACCCACTGGCCCCCAGCAGTTAGCCCTCCTCTGGGACACTGAGTTTCTCCTTCACCCCACAGGCCACCACGGCGAAAAAGAACTCTGGGAAGAAGGTGCGGATGTACACTGCGGCCTTGGGGATGGGGTTGGCCAGGAAGACCTCTTGTTTCTTCCGCCTCACGGTGCGCATCACCTCCTCGGCCACGTCCACAGGGTGCACCCCGTAGGTCAGCTTCCTGAAAAAGACTGAACAGCCCCAGAAGGGGCAGGGGTTACAGCCTCTGGGCGCCCAAAGAGAGGGAAAGGGGAGGTGGCCGGGCCTGGCGTCGTGGGCTCCTCGCCAGCTCTGCCCTCCAGTGGCCGTGACACCCTGGGGGGCACTCTTCACCCCCCTGAGCCTCAGCTTTTTCATCCGTGAAGTGGGCATATAGTTTCCTGCCCTGTTCATTTCACAGGGTGGTTGTGAGCCTTTGC